TGAGCAGAAAAATACGAAAATACGAAATCTTCGAAATCAGAAATAGGATTCAGATTCCTTACTTCGAGACAAACAATTCTTTCAACAGCAACGACGAACGAAAAGCGCACCGCAAGCTCCAAAACAAAGCCTTTCCTTCCTTTTCCTTCTCTTTCTCTCTCCAGCTTTCTCTTTCTCTCTCTTCAAATAAATCAAAATATCTCAATCCAACATATCCATTCAGATTATCCCGGACGATCCAAAATCGTCCTGGGACGATTTGCCCTCTGGATGAAATTCGTCTAGACGTGAATAGTTTTCGTCCCTGGACGGCTTGCTCTCTGGACAATTTTCGTCCCGACGAACCAAATTTCGTCCCGGGATGAACTCAGTTCGTACAGGCAGTTCGTACGTACTAACCATACAGATTTTCACAATTTTCTTCAGTTCGTCCCATACTAAGGCCAGTTCGTCCGGACTAACAGCACTCATAAAAATGAACTTTTGAGGGGTTTTACAGCTTTCTTACTGCTTCTTAAAGTAGTTTTATAGTACAAAATTTTTTTGAAAAAAAAAAGTATTAAAAAATTGTTTTAGAAAGCAGTATAAAAATTGTTTCAATCGAATCCTAAAGGAAAAACTACTTTTCTTATTTCACATAATATATCTTGCTTCATTAGTTATTTTTAATTCAACCTTCTTCTCTCAACACTCCATCATAAATAATATTTAAAATAAAACATTTTTTTTTATAAAAAAATGAGTTAATAAATCAATTTGAACAAATTTGATTGTTGCTTATTTACCGCTTTTCAAAAATTTATATGATGGGAAGATATTCTTACAACCATAGTTGTGAATGTTTGATATTATGAGAAAATAATTGTTCGATTTTTTAGAAAAGAACATATTTATAATATCCACAACAACTTTCAAAAAAGTTATTTTTCTCACAACAACTTTACAATTACTTTACAAAATGTTAGAGTCGTCCCAAAAGACCCTAAGTTAGTTTTTTCATTAACATTAAGAATTTGTTTGGAATAACTTTCTATTTTTTTTTTTTCAAACCACGTTTGCAGTTTCTCGTTTCTCACTACTTTCAAAAAATTTATGTATTAGAATGTTGCTTTTTATAACTGCTTCTAAAAAGTTACTTCCCTCATAATAGCTTTACAATCACCTTTAAAAAAATTATAAAAATCCCAAATACATTTTACATATATTTTTAGTATAAATCCATAAGCGATTGATAAATGGGTTTTAACCTATTCGTATAATTATTAATAAAGATTTAAGAGGTCGCAAACTAATCGGATTAGGATATCATAATTCATAACCAGAGGTGAGATATTGTTGGGCCCACCGAGTCGATTTCATGGATGTTGATTGCTGGGGGCCAGCCCTTTTCAATATTTTAACGTTCTTTACATATATATCATATTAAATGTATTTCAATATGATAATTGATTGTCCCTACACACGTCATTATTCATATATATAATTAGCATTTTATAAAATTAATTGTAAAAAAATTGTAGAAAAAATAATTTAGTTATCCTAATCGAAAGTCATAACAAATTATTTTACATCATATAAATTAAAAAAAAGGGTAAAGAAATAATAACTATATAAAATTATAATTATAGCCTTAAAAATAAAGCAGTTAGAAAACTATTGCAAACATGCCATACACTATCTATTAAAATGTATCTAAATATGTGATGAAACATCATTATTTGTTAATTTATTAAATATTTATATTTAAAATATAAGATGTTTAACAGATAAATTTATGATAAATAATTAAACATACTGAATATATAAGAGGGTACTATGCCGTTCATTTTGATATGTTGGTTGAGACTCGAGAGTTTTGACTATCAAATAAGAGGTTATGGATTCGAAACTTGCGTGAATGATGTATATGATTTTGTCTTAATTGACTCAAGTCCAAAAAAAAAGTGGAGGGATACTCACATGACTGACTGCTCCACTATACTAGATATGCCTCTTTCTGTTGGCCTTAATAGATCATCACATGTTATTTCTTCTCTAAAATATGATTATGATAGCACATGCGAGAATGAAAATGCACAAAATATATATAAACGTTGTTGTCAAGTATGTTTGGGATTGATGTAGCTTTTTATAAATGTGGTTGTAAAGCTACTATGGAGAAAGTTGTTGAAAACAATAGCTTCTTAATACAAAGAATTATTGAAAAATAATAAAAAATAATTGTCAAACAAAAAACTAGGTTTACAATATGAAAAATAAAGCATTAAAAAAATTGTTCCAAACGAAGCCATACTCCAATCAAGAAAATAAGTTATAAGGTCATGAGTTGTTGCAATTCACTCATAAAAAGTTATCTAGCTTGTTAAGGATTAATTAGTCTGTGCGGAAGTCGAATGTCGTCCGGAGACCAACCAGAATGTGTCACGTCACCCATTCGCTTCGTACCACGGCTCAGTACCGCTAGCGTGACGCATTCTGATTGATATTCGGATGACGTTTTGCATCATGTCTCTGTACAAAATAATTTCTTCTTGTTAAGAGGGAATATAACCAAATGACATCTAAATGGGTTTGATTGGTATACTTGGCTTAAAAGTGTTTAACAAAGCATGCTAAAAAGATTATTTTGAGTAGAAGAAAATGTTTGAAGGATGTTAAAGCCAATTTGCTTAGAGGAGTTTCTTAAGAAAGGATAGGAATTTGGAACAACTTGTAGAGCATGGTGAAGCAACTTGTCTTGCTCTCGTTAGTGAAGGGGAAACATTAGAGATCCCTTCCTTGGAAGTTATTATATTTGAAGCAAGTATATATACCTAAGGATGACATTGATTAGGGTAAAATTACTGCATGACACTTATTTTAGGAGTTGAAAGAAATAACGTAAATAAATTCTTCAATCTAAATGTGATAATTAAATAGTTATTATTAGGGGTGTAAGAGAGTCAAGTCGACAAGTGAGCGAAGAGCCCCGACTTTTCCCCTCATGTCTGCTAGGGTTTTTCCCCTTCGTGAACCCTAGCCGCCGTCTTCTCTCTCGCCGGTGAGATCGCGGTTTCCATGGCTAATAAACGTATGGATCCTGGTTTTATTGAAGGTAAGAACTCTAAATCATTCAAGGATGTGCTTTCTGGATCGGTTTCGACTGCTTTCCCTGAATGTCGTGTGTCTACCATTCGTGGCTTGCCGGCGTTCTGGTTTTCAGAGGATGAGTTTTTCCATCTTGCTAAACCTTTCGAGTATGCTTTAGTTGGTAAGTTTCCTTTGAAACGTCCGGTGTTGGATTCCATTCGGAAATTTTTTTTCAACCTTAAACTGTCCGGTGATTTTTCGGTAACCTTGTTAGATCAAACAAATGTGTTGATTAAGCTTGATAACGATTTAGATTATGGTAGAATTTTTGCTCACCGGTCCTATTTTGTTGTTGGTTGTTTCATGAAAATCATCAAATGGTCGCCTCTCCTTGATCTGTCGGAGGAGTCGTCGATCGTCCCGGTGTGGGTTTCTTTCCTGGGTTTGCGTCCTCACCTGTTTTCTTCCAAGATTTTATTTGGTTTGGGATCAATTTTTGGGCGGCCGATTCAAACTGATAATGCGACGGCGGTGGGTTCGCGTCCCTCGGTGGCTCGTTTGCTGGTTGAAATTGATATCTCAAAATCTCACTCGGATTCAGTGTGGTTAGGTCCGGAGAAGTGTGGGTATATTCAAAAGGTAATTTTTGAAGATGTTCCTAGCTTTTGTCAGCAGTGTAAAGTTATTGGTCACAAAAAATCAGAATGCTCTAAATCATTTTCTCATTTAAGAACACCTTTGAATTCGGTTATTCCTCCGGTGGATGCCGGGATCTCTAGTCTTATCAACAAGAAGAATATCATCAACAAAAAGCATACACCAAGGTACATCCTCTTGCAAATGTCCAGTGAGAACATCCATGACTATGAAATAAAAATAAATTTCAAACAAAATTAACTATTAGTTTTTTATTCTATGCTATTCTTACAAAATCATTGCTATTTTACTTAACTCATGACATGCCAACAATATTTCTATATGTATGGGGTGCATGTAAAACGTGTGTGATATGTATGATCTATTTTTCATGTATTCTAAACTACACAATTTGTTACAATAAAATTATGTATAATAACAAATAATCAGAATAATCCTTAGTCGTTAAGCACAATTCAAATTGTAAATTTATAAAATATGGATCGAGATGTATTCATTTTTCCATGCATTAAAGGGTTGTATGGTTGTCTAAAAAAAGAATAAGGTGTAAAAGGAATTCTTTGAGTTGTTTTGATGATTATATAATATGTGAGATTACTTTTAAAAAAAAAAATTGATTTGAAGTAAAATTAATGCAAGGTAAAGTGCAAAAATGTAGTGGTCTTTAGTGGCTAGAGGCGACTGTGGGTGGTAAGCAGCAGGGGTGCTCAGAGGAAGTACACTGACGACAGTGATGGTCGGCGTTGGCATTAGTCCACAATGGTGTTGGCTTACGATGGGTGCTAGCAGTGGTCTACGATGGTCACATGGCGGCAAGTGGCTACGGAGGTGGGGGCGACAATAGCAATGGCAGTGAGTTTTGAGATAGAACTATTATATTACCACATGATAATGTACGTTCTCTCCAGATCAGAGATTCACTCCACCTATTCCTATCATCTCACCAATTCACCAAGACCGTCATTTGTCCTCTGTTTGCATCTGGAACTTAGGCTTTGTATGCGATAATTTTCTTAAAACTTTATTTTTCATATTGCAACAACAATTTTTATTTGATTATTATTTTTTTCGCTTTTAAATACTTTTTGCACTATGAAGTCAACAGCTTTAAAAAGTTAGTAGCTGTCTCAAGCTAACTCTCAAACGAACTCAAAATCATAAGGATGAAAGTGATATTTTTTAAATTAATGTGATATGTAATAATGAAGCTTTAGGGGTTGAATATGTAAAAATGATACAATGTGCCCCCACCCTTTTTCTTGTAGCGCAGGCAAACTATTCTTTCCGATCAAGCCGAGCAGACTTCGAGCCCTAATAAGCATTTCGAAGAGATATTGCTGGAAGAGTAGCGAGTAGAACAATGAGCCGGGGAACTGGGGCCGGATACGATCGCCACATCACGATCTTTTCTCCAGAGGGACGCCTCTACCAAGTTGGTAAGCTTTGTTTCTCTCAATCTTCCGTAATTTATTTGAGTCATATTCAAGTTATTGTTTGCCTTGATCGATCTCAAATGATCGTTCACCACATTATTCTGTAACGCTGGAGCCTTAGATTTTTTCATTTCCGTGCAATTCACCATTGATTTCTTCCGTTGGAAACAGAGTATGCGTTCAAAGCGGTGAAGGCTGCGGGCGTCACATCCATTGGCGTTAGAGGGAAGGATTCAGTCTGCGTCGTTACGCAGAAGAAGGTTCCGGTAGGCATCTTTTTTTATCAAGCTTTTGTTGATGAGCAAATTCAGATGTAAAGTTTTTATCTTTTGATGCCTGATATATGGGGTATCATTATTCAGGATAAGTTGTTGGACCAAACCAGCATCACTCATCTCTTTCCTATTACCAAGTACCTTGGCTTGCTGGCAACTGGGATTACAGGTTTGCATCCCGCATTTTTCTAAACTGTAGATCTCTAATTTTGATGGCAATTGCACTTTTTTTTTTCATTATTTAATGATATTAATAATCATCCAACAGTATTATTGAGGATAAAGTGTCACTTAAGTGTGATATGTTTAAGTATATTTGAATTTATTATGTAGAAAAACGAGGATGTAAATGAGTATATTACTTCTAGAGTAAAATTATGTTGCTAATATGGAAGAAAGACACATGAGCATTATGTGATAACAGGATATCCCCGAGACTTCAAGGCATGCAAAATTGTAATTAGGTTAGTGATGCTAATTGAATCTTAGCGTTGGTAAATTAAAGATTGTTAATAGCTAAGTTAAGCAGGATGGATGTGATAATGTTAAGAAGAATATGTGGCAAGTCTAAGAAGGATAATTAAGGAATAATTATATAAAATTGATAAGTCTATCAAAAATTTGCTTGATTGGCATGAAACTCGAGGCAACATTTGAATGATAAACTTTCAAGATTAAATTTAGGATCATCCAAACTCCAATTTCAACAAACTTATAGTCGAATTGAACATCTCGATGAAACAAATCTATCAACGCTACAAATGGTTCGATTCGACTCTAAATAAGCTTAAATCAAGTACTTAAATGATGTTTGAAAGTTTCTACACAAATTGATTGACCAAATGACTTTCAATTATGACATGCTGATAGGTAAATCGAGCGGCTCGATAAGGCAAATCTAATGAGCCCAAGATCACTCGATTATGACATTTTTAAGGGATTTAAATGTTTAATAAATGATCTACGATCAAGGAGATCAATATGGACCGTTCGATTGTGTGCTTTGGATTTAGATCAAGTTTACCAAAATGCACATGCAAAAAATCATATAAATAGATTCTCATTCTCTACAGGAAGGGGGAAGCAGAATACCTGAGGGAACTAAAAAGTTCTCTTGCAATTTTCGGCTATCACCACTGATGACCGCCTTAATCAATGGCCACTACTGTTCTAGAATTCTATCAAGATCTCACCCTATTGTTGGGTTTACAATTGTCTACCAGTGGACATCTGAATTTTATAATCGCTATAGGGGAAATTAGAAAATTGTACTGTAAGTACTTCCATCTTCTTCAATTGCGAGGAATGGAGGATTATTGTATCTCTTATTATATAGTGGGTTGATATAACTAGGTCAGACCTTATGATTTTTCCTCTTTATGGGTTTTTCACATTAAATTTCTTTGATCTCCTATAACTTTTTGTGTGTGTTAGATTTTTGTACAACGTTTAGACATTAAATATTAATTATATCGACATAAATTTTTTAGCATGTAACCAAGATGAATAATTGAAGTGGCATATGTTGAAGTTAAGATAATTCAAAATAAACTTAGGTAATTTAGATATATAAAACAAAGAGTAGAAAATTTACCCATTATATGATAAATAAAATTACTATCAAAAGACTAGGAAGGAGAAGGGCTAGTATTAAGGTAACGTGAATTGAAATTGTTCAACATGATTCATGAAGAATAGGTTCAATGTCTCAGGTAATACTCAGCAAGAATGAATGAAAGTTGGTTAAAATGATGATGAATGTTGCTCATGATTGTTTTGTTGTTTAGCCTGAAGAATATAAGGTAAGGAGGGAGGCGAGAGGGAAGAAAAATATTTGTTATGATACAAAAAAATTCAATAGATTTCTCACTTCGTATTTGACTTTGCTTTATAATCAAATTTTCTAACTAAATAATGTAAGAAATTGCTTCATATTGCTCTGCTTTGTTCCTTGCTGAATTGTTCTTTTTTTTGCTGCAAAATAACCTTCAAATATATTTTCATATTCAAAGCTATTGTTGGAAGTTGCATTTATGTTTTATATTTCTTGAAGTGCATTGTAATCCAACCACCCACTTTAGATTGGTTGGCAGGGTGATTATTGGACCACTAATCATTTGCTAAGGTACTTGTGTCTTGATTCTTTGCGGGAACATAAATAAAATCATAAAACTCACAAAGAATCATTGTATGCTTTTGTATGATGAAGATGATTATCATATAGAGTTATATGAGCCTTGTAGTCGATTTTATAAATCACTCTCATTAATTCCAAGAATGATGCATGCTATACTAAGCACAATTTACATAAATCCTTGGGCACAACTTTTATCCACTAACCCCAATTTACATAAATCTTTGGGCATAACTTCTAATTATGTTATCTTTGATTTACATGTTTTCCTTCCCTTTATCTTTTTAAATTAATTATTTTTCCCCAATGATAGCCATGCTAGAAGCTAATTTCAATCGGAGGGGTAAATTTTATCAAAATTTTAAAATTTAGCATCTTTCAAAATATAAATGTTCAAATGAAAATCTATCACTTAAAAAACAAAACACAAAAATTCATCCACATTTTGCAATTGTTTGATGAAAGTGATGAATTCAAGCATAATTTTAACTCATAAAAATAAATATCTAGTCGAGAATATCACTGAGATTTATTATCAAATAATCTCTCACCAGTAAAGATGTGTCATGCGTCTTCTAATTGGTGGTTTGACTCAGCGCTTTATATAGTAAACAATTGCGATTGACGCTCTCTGACCGGTGGTTTGACCCAATGGCTCCACAAGATAAAGGATCACGACCAGAGCCTATATGTTCCCCAACAACTAATACTCTTGAGTAATGAATCATCAAGTTGACTTGATAAGGCCTAAAGTCCTCTATAAATTAAGGTTGACTTGAATTTGTTCCTTAGATAAACTTCCACCCAAAGTCTTTTAGGTACATTGTACGAAGCAACCTATTGTTACCAACAAAGATTCTTTGGCTTGGTTGGATTGACTATCTTTGTTGACTAAGTTGGTTATGGACCATAACAACCTGGGATGCAAAACCATGAGATCTTGATCAAGTTCATTATCATTCCCTCCACCATCTCCTTTAAACACAAGGTAATAAAATTCTAATCATAAACATCTAAATATGTTGCTCGTATACGAAGGTACTCGGTACTTATCTAAAGATTAGCCTTAATCGGAAGCGCTCTCTCATTATTGCGTGGGATAATTAACCATAGGGGTTTGCATCTATAAGAAATATGAACTCATATCTTAAAGTCCTCGCAAATGAGGGTGAAATATTTGGGCAATGTCTTATCTATGATCAATATGCCTTCTGAAAACTCTCCTAGAATCACGTGGAGAGCCGTGGGTGAGCAAAATTTTCGGAGACCACTAGACTTTCTATTGATTTTTCTTGCAAATCTCTTTAAGATGCAGTGGGTTAGGCATTCAACTTAGAAAATTACTTTTGGTGGCACTTCTTAGTGTTGCTGATGTAAATCCTTACTCTATTGGGTTGATGTGTATATACAAGCCTACATTCTGCTATTATTGCTTGTTTAATCCTCGTGATGAGCTTTGGCTTTGAGTTTGTGTTCTTGGAAAGAATCGGCTCAATCCTCGGACTTATTAAGCCATATCTTTGTAAACTCCAATTCAAGAGCATGTAAAATCTGCTCAGTCAACTCCACCCATAGGTTTGTGAATTGGGAGTAAGCTTGATTTGATCTTTGAGGATTTGTTGAGCTATTAAGGCTAGTCCCATATTTTATTTTTTGAGTCCTCTTTTTATCGTGCCCCTTCACTTGGGCTTCTTGGCTTTGGCGATATATTTTGGCTTTTCTAGCTTGCAAGTTTAGCTTTTGCTTGATGTTCGCCTTCCATGAGTTCCTTGAACTTAGTCGATCAGTTAGGTGCGTGGACATATTTTTCCTAGATTTTCTTAACTTCTAGGTCTTGAACTACTTTAATGTAGATCTCCTTGTCAGTTTTTGAAGTTTTGCTTGATAAGCATAGCTAAATTGTTTCTAGCCCCGAAGGGTTTGCAAAAAAATTGCCTCTAGTATGCATGTAATTTTTAGTAGGGGGTCACTTTTGTGGAAATATTTTTTGTTTAAGCTGTAGAGCCATGGAGAGCTTATTGATTTTTATTTCTTGGGGACCCATCTATGTCATGAGCTTTCACTGGTGAATCTTTGGGGGTTATATAGGTCAAATGTCGCATACTAGTGTTATCAGTGCAAGTTTTAATATTTGACGCTTTGACCTTGTAGTTGGCTATTAGGATTTTCCAATGGCTCATTGGGAATTAAATTGCCTAGATGCCACGTATTAGTGCTCACTATGCAACTTTAGGTGTTTCAGATCTTGACTTCAAAGTGATCTATCAAGATTTTCCAATGACGAATCCTCGAGGGCTGTACTAGCCAGGTGATAATCATGCAACTTTGGATTTTTGAGGACTCGACCTCAAAACAAGTTCTTGGGGTCTTTTGGCAGCAAATGCTTGGGGTTGACCACCACAACACTCACATCCAAGCTTCATCTCGAGTATTTGACCTCGAGTGATCTGTCGGGATCTTTTTGTTGGCAGATATCTCGTGGTTATATTTCCTAGATACCACAGCCAATAGTCTATATGTCAATACTTGCACAAACTACGATGGAATTATGATTTTAAACATTTTTGATCTCGTGATTGACCCCAGCAATCTCCCTTGAGTTTCTATTTTTAAATACCAAGACTAGTTCTTTTTCAGTCAGTTAGAGATGCTGGAACAATTCTTTATTATAATGTGTTAACTTGTGCATGTCCACGACGCTTCCTTTCTAGATTATTTTGTTTGAATTCTCTGATGCATAGGTTTTGTTATATTATTGCTGTGCTATGAGACTTTGGTTTTATTTACTGGTAATATATTGATATTCATGCATCGTATAATTCTGATGCTGACATCACCGGCTTTTCTTTATGGAAATTCCAACGGCCATTTACTTTTCTTTCTTCTAGCTGACGCAAGGTCTTTGGTTCAACAAGCAAGGAATGAAGCAGCAGAATTCCGGTTCAAATGGGGATATGAGATGCCTGTTGATGTTCTTGCCAAGTGGTAAGGCACCTGCTATTTCCACAAATTTTAGCTATGTTTCTCAGTAGTGCACGATTCATGCAAATATTTGCTGTATGGTTACATTTTGTAACTCTGCTTATTTTTACAATGATTATTTGACTACCAGCTCCAAAATAAAAGAAGAAAGGAAATTATTTTTCATTTGTATTTACACCCTGATGATTCACTTAATGCTAAAGAAAGTCTAAGGTCCTATTTGGGGGTGTCCGGCAGCACATGATGTGTTCCCGCCTGCTGTTGCACTGGTGTTTCTTTTTACGATGGCTGTCTTGGTGCAAACTACTAAAAATTGAATTCACAAAACTGTTTGCACAGGCACAATGGGAGAGCCTGCTGTGGCAGTCTTTACTGTTGTAGCTCACCAAAACAAAGCCTAAATGGTTGGGAAAGTTTTTGTGCTTCTTTTGAATCTCATCTTTGATTTATCTTTTATGGGGCTTTTTTTAAGTGTGAACAACTGTCTTTTTTATTCTCAATTTAATGTATAAAACTATTTTGTTCATTTTGGGAAGGCATAAACGCTCAGCTCAATTTCCTATTTCTTTTCATTTTGGGGGATTACATACCTAGCACTCAAAACTATCTAATTTACGTATTTCATACATAAACTTCTCTATTTACATATATACATATATCTCCTAAAATATCAAAATAAACTAAAAAATAACATCTCCCCAGTTAAAAGACTTTTTTTTAGAATGCGGCAGTCTCAAGCTCCCTTGTCATTTGCCTGTGAGCTCTAATGTTGCTTACCAGCAAGCTTGCTGCCCTACCCGCTTGTGAGTTTGCCGCTGCTTGCCTATCTGTGATTTCCGCCCACTTGTGGTCCCGTTCCCCACGCATGTGGGAGCTCTTCCCCACTCCATTGATGCCCCCTCGCTTGCGAGCTCCGGTGAGTATCCAAAGAGTTCGGTTGATGTGTTAATGGAGGGGTTTGGATTAAGTAAATAGTAAATACGTGAAATATGTAAATTAGATAGTTTTGAGTGCTCTTTATGTAAGTCCCCTGAAAATTCTTGTTGGCTATTACTGTTTTTTCTCGGTCTGCCTTTGAACCAATAAAACCATATGTGAGGGTTTATGTATATTTGAAGATCAGCGCAAAGATAATTTTTACAGCCATCGAGTCTTATTTGCTATAAGAGGTGTTCTTGTTCCTGCTTTACAATTGGTAATTGTGATCTGTGGACTGAGTCCTTTAGGTGTTTGATGTTTCTGGGACTGCAACCTTTTTAGTTATGAAATTGAACTGATTTTTGTGCGAAGTTGATTTTCTTTTTTTGCTGCAGTATTTTTGGCCATTTATACGTATGGGCTGTAGGCATCATAAGAGTTCATCCTTGTTGATGTTCTATTTTTAATTCCGTAATATTGATACTTTGGTTAGAAAATAGAGTGCATATAGTGATTATAACATGTTATAGGTTGTTATAGGCTTGTAGAGAGAATGTTATTTTGATTTTTATGACTAAGAAGGTTTAGTTATTTGCTAGAATATGGATACCTTTATTATGCATGTTAGGACTGGACCAAATCTATGATATGGTTCCAAGGTTTTAATCGTTGTGATAGTTTTTTCCATGGTGATCTTAGAAATGCTGTAAAACTTTCCAATCATCTTTTTTTATAAGTATTTTGTTCTTTCCGACTCATCTACAGGATAGCTGACAAATCACAGATATATACACAGCATGCTTACATGCGACCACTTGGAGTAGGTCAGTTTCTTTAGTTGTAGATAAAAGGTTTTGATCAAAGCAATGGGTGCTTATTTTGCTTCTAAGAGTTTCTGACCCCCGTTATATGTGATGCATAAAGCTGCAATGATATTGGGCATTGATGAAGAAAAAGGACCTCAGCTATTCAAATGTGACCCAGCTGGTCATTTTTTTGGTCACAAGGTATTTAGCCTTGTAAACTCTTTCCTAGTATCTTATTACGCAATTGAAGTCATGGTAAAGTTTTAAGGTTAATTTTAGGAGTGTTATTCTGGAATTCAACATCTATTTGCATATGGTTAGGTTTTCCTAGTTGTGATTATATTATGGTCCATCTTAGCGTTGCAGGATGTATTTTGTGCTTTTATCTATCTGTAATTCATCTTATCTGAGTGTCTCGTATCCATAGTAATGTTTGTGAATGGCTATGGTTGTACTTATTACAGATTTGTTTTTCGGCTTTCATACCAATATTTTTTCTTTCATGGATTCTGTAGTATATCTTGTGGAGAACACCTTACAAAAGGAAAATATTTATTGAATTATTGTCAACTTTGGCAAATCTTATTTAGGACTAAAAAGTTATTGCTCTTTTTTATTCATGCACTGCATATGAGGATGTTTGCTAGTATCATTAGCATACCTCATTGTCTGAATTATTTGGATCGGCTATGTTATGTGGGATGCTTTGATGATTTTCAACATGTTATAAAGTGTCTTGTTACCAAGATGATAAACTATAACTGAAAGCAAATGACTTGAGATTATAGTATTTTACACAAAGGTAAAATTTATTGATTTTTGCAGATTTAGCAGGCTTTATTCTGAATTAACAGCTGTGCATGCAAGCATAACTTGATGCTTTCCAGTATTATCTGCATCAATTGTATTTTATTTACTATCATCTCAGTAGGCAATATATTTTCTCAACTAGCGCTAGAAATGAAAGTCGACAAATTGTCAAAGTCAAATTTCCAGGTCATCTAAAGATTAAGGAGTCCTTTTTAGAACATAGAAGTTGATAATCACAGAAACTATCAAAGCCTGATAATTTCATAAATGTAGCGCTTCTCTGCGGTTAATATCGTAGGTTTAGTGCTTCTCTGTGACACTCTTCCCACTTTGCTGTCCTGTTAGTGCTTTGGTACATCGTCCATCTTGATTTCTGAATGCATTGCAGAATGTTGTAATACAGAAATCCCTACTCCGTATTACGCTTGTGGGAATTAGATTAAGTCAATATAATGTAACCTCTACAAAACAACATACATACATGGATAACTAAAATCATCAACATTCTCTTCATTTTGAAGGGAAAGAAATAAGCAAAAAGATGTGCTAAATGTTGTTTATTCCTAGCTTTTTAAATCCTACTGTGTAAATGATTTACATAGTGTCATTGTAGGAATATTGGCTCCAACTACTAGTGATGTTGAATTTCAGATCTGTAAGCGCAGATTTCTTGTAAATTTCAATTGGAGTGATCGAAGATCGCACCATTAAAATGGAGTACACATAAAAAACAAAGATCTAGACCATTTGTGTGTTGGAATTCCACAAAAAGCTTGTAGGTGCAGAACAAAGGAAGAAGAGTTGAATGCAGATCCTAGATAAAAGATGGAATTAGATAAAAAGGAACATGAGGCATGACTGTATGAACGTCCTTATTGGTACCCACATGCTGCATCAAGCAGGTTTGATGTCTCTATTGTTTGGAGGCATTCGTCATCTTTTTATTCCTGAAACTTTAGACTAGGATTCTTTTGATACGATAGAAGCATTTCCATGAAGCAGTAATAGTTAGGACAGCACACATAATAGAACTTTGTAAGCACATTTAACATGGTATCTAAGAAATCAATGTGGAGCTGACTCAAATCTCTATATTGTATGACACTACGTTTTTTGGTATGGTCCACCTTTTTACGAGGTCTAATCCCCCGCGCCAGAGAAAACAAATAAATAAATGTGGAATTAGGTGTATAATGCACGGCGTCGCACATAGACCACTTGATGACTTATTCTGACTTTAAGAACAATGTACAGAACAAATTAAAAACCATTTTATGACTGTTTGACTACTTGTTCACTCAGTCAAAGGAGTATTTGAGATTAAATTGGAACTGTTGCTTCATCAATGCCGTGGACTTCCACTTTGTTTATACACTCCTAGTTTTTTATGAACTTCATGTAACTTCCAATGCTCACTCTCTTTTAGGGCAATTCATTCATCTCTATGCGATTAGAGGAAACTTTTTAACATGAGCACTGCTTGGCATGGCATACCAAACAAAGCCTATATTGCTCTGTCCTGGATTGCCATAGTGTTTTATGCAGCTGCTTTAGTTCTTTTTTAAAAAATTGAAGCTCTTTAATAGCCCTACTTGTGTTAATTTAACAACATATGTACGAATACATTGTTTAGAAAAAGTAAGGTAATGCTGCAAACTTGCAACTTTATTTCCATGTAGAACCAGTTTCTTCGTAGTGATTAGACAAATTTCTGTCATTTCATTTTGCACTTGTCTTGGTTCTTTTGGCATCTACGCCATACTTTTGAATATGCTATTTGAAATTTTTATTTGTAAGCATATGCTCAGGCAACAAGTGCTGGATTGAAGGAGCAAGAAGCAATCAATTTTCTCGAGAAGAAAATGAAGAATGATCCTGCATTATCATATGAGGAGACTGTGCAGGTATGCCTTGGATGTTGGAAATTCGTATTACCTTTTGGCATCCTTGAAATTTTATGACCTTTTGGACTAAGGTTTTGTTTGGGACGATTTTTTATTGCTTTTTAAAGCAGTTTTTTAGTATAAAAGTTTTAATTTTTATATTAGAAAGCTGCTTTAAAAAGTAACAAAAAAGCCGTTTCAAACGAAACCCAAGTCTTTTTATTTTCTGAACGAGTCATTTTAGAAAAATAGCCATCTTATTTTTATGGATCTAACACACTTCACCTGGCTGGGAATAGGCGAGCGTAGGCTTTTGAAGATAAACAGTGTCACGACATTCACAGTACAACTATGTATTTAATTTTTTATGCATTTTTGTTTCACTCTTAGACTAAACGATGCAACTTGCATTATTTAGAATGTTAGAAGTTGAAACGCTGCATATGTTGACTTTCATTGTGTTCCTGGAGAGTAATAGTGAAGGAATTATATCGGGAAAAAAGGGGATCTGTTTGAAATAAATAACATGTAGTTATGATGGATTTAAACCCAGCCACTCAAAATGAAAATTTGATTTTAATCAACGACAACGGCTCTGATAAATTTGCATGACTAATGCCGAGAAATCCGACAGTTAAGAAATCAACTTCTTGTATTGATTGGGTACATGACATTTCCTTGCAGACTGCAATATCTGCCCTGCAATCAGTTCTACAGGAGGACTTCAAGGCCACTGAGATTGAGGTAACGGCTATCTTATTGTGTTGATTTTTGTCTTCCGGTAACATTCTTTTTACTTACCGTTTTTATCCTATCACACAAGAGTAGATAACATCTAAAGAATGGGCCATGAGAATGCTCCATTTCAAACTAGTGTTCTCTCAATATCGAGGCTATAAAAAATTATCATAGATATAGAAAAAACATCTCTTTATTTCTTTCAATTTTTAAAATTTTAGAATGAGAAGATTTCCATAAGTAAAATTTTAAATCTAAAAATTAATAGAGAAGAAATTCAAAATGAAGCCAAAGAATAGTGGCCGCTCAATTGTGCTAAAACTCTGAAAATCTTTTCAAATTATTTTTGAGAGAGTGATATTAGAATGTGAAAAAGCATTATTATAGTCTTTTGAATTATTATCATTTTTATTTTTGTTAACATATTTGGCAGTGATATCAACAGCACAACTTAAATTCTTTACATTTACATAATTTCATATTGATTCATAAAGTATTTCATATTTAAATATTTCATACTTTTGTTAGGAAAGAAAGATACAAATTAATGAAAACATTAAAAAAATGAAACATCTATTTTATGACTTTTATGATATATATGAGAAAGTTCACTCCAAAAATTATAATTACCATAGGCTTCATTTTGAAATGTAGTTCTCTTAAAATTGACATTTTTTAGTTTATTGCTGGAGAAAACTGTTTTTGATTTTATATTTATAATAAAAACGATTAAACACATCTATCTAATCAATTTAATATCTGATCTATTTTACTTATCATGTACTATACTAATCATCAATATATATGTATATTTAAAATTTATCCTTCTAAATTAAACTCCATGATTGAAGATTACTGAAAAACTAGATCTATTTTTCTTATAATAAGATTCGACTCCGTTTGAGATAAAACGAATTCAAGATAATTTTTTAGATAGAATTGAATTGGGTCATTAATAGTCTTATAGGAAAGCATCCTAAATATGAATTCAACAATTTTTTTTTTATTGCCAGCTAAAAACTTTAGTTTTTAATGATTTATATAATAGATTAGATATTAAGAAAGCTAAAAGATGTATGTATAAGTTTGTCAAATAAAGAGTTAGGAGAAATAAAATTTTTGTTCAAGTGAAGTTCATTAAGGATGAAAGTCAAAAATTATTTTTCTTAGAAGAGATCTTGATAAATTTTTCAATGAAGGTTGTGAGAACAAGATTGACTTTAGTGACCCTAGTACTTTGAATAAAAATATAAATTTTTTTATTTTTATTATTATATTCATAAAATTGAAGCTAGAAAGGTTGAAAAAACATAGTGTGAAAAAAACAGTAGTACTTAATGATATTCCAATAGAAGTATGGAAATGCTTAGTAGATTAAGGAATTTTTTAGCTTATTAAACTCTTTAATATTATTTTGAAGACCAAAACAATATGATGCGTCGATACTTCTCCTCAAAGAGGTATGCAATGTCTGACACATATCGAACATGGTACACGTTCGACACGTGTTGGACATGCCGAAAATGTGTCCGATTAAAAAATAATTTAAAATAAATTGGACCTGCATGTCCAACACGCCTGTCTTAAATATTTATGAATTTTTTAAAATATATTTTTTATACTTCAAAATTTTATTCATTAAAAAAAAAAACAAAATTTCTTATTTTCTCTTACAACCCCAAATAAATCGCCCATACTCAATATTTTGTTCCTCGAACATTTTCATTTTCATCTCTCTTTAGCAGTTTACAACTAGGGCAACAGAGCATGATGTCATCTCTCTGATGTTGTCAAAACAACCATCTTAACCTTGAATTATGATGATGTCTTGACATTGACGCTTGACAACATTAATTTCTACACCCATAATCACGCCCCCGCTATTTAAAAAAAAAAAAACCTCACCATCTTGACATCTCATCTTTGTCCAACATCATCTTAATATCGATGATCGATGTCATCGCGACATCAAGGGCTGACATTGCCTCAACATCAAAACTTGATGCCCATTGTACAACATTGATGCCCGACTCTCGGCAACATTGTCATCTCCTCTTTCGATGCCTAACATGACATCCACCACGACTCTTGACATTCTAATATTAATCATTTGAGCACAATTTTTTGTTAAATGACTTATTATTTCTCAATTATTCATAGTATTCTACTTATTCAATTTTTATGCATTATCTTTAAGATATACTAGACATTGGTGGACTTCACTGGATGTTCTGACTAGACATTTGCAAGAGGTTGTACCTCGGTGTATGCTTTTTGCTTATGATATTTTTCTTGTTGATAATACTAGAGGGAGTACAAGGTAAACTTGAATTATGGAGGTAAGACTTAGAGTCTAAAGGTTTTCATTTGAGTAGGCCTAAAACTAAATATATGGAGTATAATTTTATTAGTAATAGATATAGTGGTGGGATTGTGACTTTGGGCAATCAAGTCATTAATAAGAGTACACGTTTTAGATAATCTCGAGTCTATTGTTTAGAGTGATGGTGAAATAGATGGGGATATTATTAGTGGAATTCAATTTGGATGGTTGAAGTGGAGGAATGCATCGAGCTTGTTGTGTGATAGAAAAGTCCCCCTCAAACTTAAGAGAAAATTATGTAATTTGACGGTGAGAACTACAATGCTTTATGATGCAAAATGTTGGCCATTAAAAGAGAAGCATAATATTAAGTTAAGTGTTGCATAGATGAGGATGCTCTAGTGGATGAGTGGCTTTACTCTTAGAGATAGGATACAGAACGAGCATATGTGAAAGATAAGATTAGAGAGAGTCGCTGTAGATGGTTTGGTCACATATAACGATTACCTTCTGATGACCCGATTAGGAGAGTAGATGTATTAGATTTGACTTATGTTCAGAAAGGTAGAGGTAGACCTAAAAAATCTTGGTTAGAATATTTTAGTAAATGACCTTTCTTTATTAGATTTAAATGAGAATTTAACTCTTAAGTCTTAACATGACACAATGGAGAAAAATGATTAATGCAGCCAGCCCCACATAGTGGGATAAAGGCTTGTGTTGTTTGTTGTGTTTGTATCATTAAGATATAAAAATTATAATATTGTGTCCAACCCGTGTTCATGTCTTATATTTTTAATAATTGACGTGTGTCCTGTTCGTGTCATATCGTGTTCATATTGTCATATTCTTGTTTGTGCATCATAGCTAAAAAGATGTCACATGAGTGGAGAAAGAGTGTGTTGGTTCCTATTAAAATAAAATTAGCGCACAAGTTTGTGAATTATAGAAGAATTAAATTAATATGTCATACGATAAGATTATGGGAGAGAGTAATTGAGTATAGATTACGATGTGATACCAATGTTTCTCAAAATCAAATTGGATTCATGCTAGGTAGGTCTACTTTGGAATCTATATATTTGTTGAGAGGTGGTAGTGAGACCTGCAATGCTTTATGCTTTATTGTGTCATTAAAAGAGAAGCAGAAAATTAAGTGTTATAGAGATGAGAATTCTTAGGTGGATGAGTGGTTTTACACTTGAGACAGAATGCAAAACAATTATATTCGTGGAAAGGTTTGAGTAGTTCCTTTGGTAGATAAGATTCAAAAGAGTCACGTTAGATAGTTTTGATACATAAAATGTCAGTTTTCTGATGACCATTTTTGGAGAATAGATGTATTAAATACAACCCATCTTAAAAAAGATATAGGTAGACATTAAAAAAAAAATAGAGGTAGACATAAAATGATTTGATTAGAAAGCATTAAAAATGATATTTCTTTATTAGATTTAAATAAGAATTTGTCTCGGAATAAGACACAAGGAAGAAAAAAAAATCATGTTGCTGACCCTACGTAATGAAATAAAGAGCCTGTTGCTGCTGCTGCTGCTGCTGCTGTTATGTACTAAGTTTTTATTTATTATTCTCTGTTGCCATGCATCATACAGAATTACTTTCTTGTATTTCGGCCTTCCATTTTGAAAAAAACAAACTCAGCGACATCTTTTTGATATATTTGTAGGTGGGAGTTGTCAGAAAGGATGATCCTATCTTTAAAGTGCTATCTACAGAGGAAATTGATGAGCACCTGACTGCCATCAGTGAGCGCGACTGACCGGTTAGTGTCATCAAAATTATATATACTTTGTTTCTGAAACGATGCGTGAGATTTAGAATCTGTAATGGAAAACAACTGTACATTTCATGGCCCCCAACCCCACAGTACTCGAAGCTTTTTTTCTGCTAATTATGCTCGTCACGTTTCATATCTTTCATGGCTATGCCAGTGTGCATTTGGTTTGATTTGTTAGTAGATTCAGGCACTCCTTTTTTGCAAAAAATTCCTATTTCAGCCCTCGAAGAATTTTTTTTTTGTTGGAACGGGGTATTCACTCGCTGTCACTCCCGAAAGGGCGCTTGGCGGCGTAACTAATCCTCGTCTGTCCTAGAAGAGGTACCCACCCCAGAAACTTCTTTGCCTGCACTTGATTGGGTCCGCTGCCGCTCGAGAGAATCGAGCACCCACCAATAAAGCTAAGCAACGGAAAGTTTCTCAAAGAATTTCCTAAGCACTTCCATAAATAAATTGTTAGTACAGATTTATGCACGTCCACAGTATCGTCAATGGTAAAGGAGATGCTACTTTGATCTATTTATTTATTTTCCAATAAAATTAATGTTTTCCTCTTCTGTTCATTTTGGATGGTGTCCAGCAAGGAAAATATTAATTTTATAATATGAAATTATTTAAATTAGTATAAACTTTTTAGCATAATATTTGATGGCATTGACTTAAAACAAATAATTTATGTTCTAGAGGCTTCTAGAATTCATGGAATTTGAGTGCTTCCTTTGTTATAGAGATTCAGGAGTTGTGGGAAGAGAAATAATTCCAAAAAATGAAGTATGTGTAACTATTTTATTTAATTATTTATTTATTTGGACTTTTTCGTAAGTGTTGCTTAGTCGTCAGTCAATGGTATGAAATAGGAATGTGTATTTGATTTAATTTTTAAATGATTTATATTAAAAATGAAACTGAATTAAATCATTCAAACAATTATGAAATTAAGGCTTCATTCGGGACGGTTTTCTTAATGCTTTTTAAAATTGATTTTTCGTAAAATAAATAATTTTTTTTGTCCAAAATATTGTTTTAAAAAATAATAAGAAAGCCGTCTCAAACAAAGCCTAAGATACTGACATTATGATAAATCAAACAAATAGAATCGGCTCAGTTTGATTGTACATCAAAGAACTTGTTTAGGCAAATAAATTAGTTTTGTGAGTTGATTAATGCTTCATTTGGGATGGTTTTTTTATTTTTTTTTGACAAAAAATTTAATTTTTTTACCACAAACCTGTTTTAAGAAGCTTAAATAGTCATACCATTGAGCTATTTCTTAGCTGACAAAACACACATTGTTAAATGATTAAATCTATTAATGAATAAAATTATTAAACAGTTTGTTAATTGGCAAGATTAGTCTTATTGATCCTATTAACAAAATAAATCAACAAATAAATTATTAGTTAATTGAATGAGTTTTATTGAGCTTATTAATGGTAAATTCATCAAGCTTAAAAATGAAATTTTAATTAAATAAATGAGCATATCAACAAATAAGAATAAATAGCTTGTCTTCACAAGAAAAAATAATCTAAGTATTTAAATTTATTCCATTAGTTAATTATGATGATGGCTAACCCTAATAAGCCATCACAAATAGCTTATCAAATATTTTAATTCTATAAAAAAAATCAAATATTTTAATTCTTTCATACCATTGAGCTATTTCTTAGCTGACAAAACACACATTGTTAAATGATTAAATCTATTAATGAATAAAATTATTAAACAGTTTGTTAATTGGCAAGATTAGTCTTATTGATCCTATTAACAAAATAAATCAACAAATAAATTATTAGTTAATTGAATGAGTTTTATTGAGCTTATTAATGGTAAATTCATCAAGCTTAAAAATGAAATTTTAATTAAATAAATGAGCATATCAACAAATAAGAATAAATAGCTTGTCTTCACAATAAAAAATAATCTAAGTATTTAAATTTATTCCATTAGTTAATTATGATGATGGCTAACCCTAATAATGGCTAACCCTAATAAGCCATCACAAATAGCTTATCAAGTATTTTAATTCTATAAAAAATAAAATATTTTAATTCTTTTTTATTTATTGCTATTAGTTGTTAGTTGAGGGATTTCGGCCCATACATGTCACCAAGCAGGTGAATTATTGCGTCCGGTCACCCGATGTACGGACCTCCAATCCGGTGACGTCATGTCATCCAAATGCACTGGGTCCCGATGTATTTTGGTGATGTGACGACACTGTATTGGTGTCCAGGCGAATCCGGACACCGGACGCAATAATTTGCCCACCAAGCATAGGTGTGTTGAGATGCTTTAAGCTACAACATCGTGAGAGTTCCGTACAACGAGTTGTGCTACGACATGCAAAAAAATATTTTAAATAAACTGAGGGAGAGAGTATTACATGTTGTTTAATTTTTTGCATTGTATTTGATCAATAACTAAATATTAGGAAAATGTAATAAAACTAAATTACAATTTTATTTTGAGTTTTAGATCAGCATTAATATTTTTTACCTTATATTTGAAAATAATAAAAAGCCAAGATATTCTAACAAAAATTAGTTAGGATAAGATTAAGGTTTTGTTTGAAATAGTGTTTTTTCTTAATTGCTAAATGCTCGTTTTGAAAAACACCTATGCTTAAATAAAAGGGTTTTTACTCCTTTACTTTTTCGACACAATCATAATTTCTGCTTGGTCGATATTTTACGCCAGACTTCCACCGAATCACAGACTGGCGTCGAACTTTTGCAAGACCAGCAACTGATGTTGGACTTTCGCTGGACCACCGACTGACGTCGGACCTCTGCCTGACCACCAACTGACACCCGAACTTTCACCTGACCACTGACCTACATCAGACTTCCATAAATTCTGACTCTAACACCTCGTATATTCTAGCCCACAATAGAGTTATTATCTTATTATTTTTTAAAGCAGTTTTTTACTATACAAATATCTTGAAAACAAAGAAACAAACAAAGCCTATCTCTATCGTGCTTTAATAAGTTTAAATTTAAACTTAATTTTAATCTCTATCGAGATTTAATAAGTTTAAATTTTTTCTCTCATATATATATATATATATATATATGCCTGAATATTTTAATATACAATATTTTTTATTCCATTATGTGGGATTGGCTACATAAATCATTTTTCCTCATTTTATGCTATTAATAGTAAAATTCTCATTTAAATCTTAGATAAAAAATATTATTTTAAATGCTTTATAACCAAGTCTTTTTACGTCTATCACTATATTTCTTAACATATATAGATCATATCTAAGATATTTACTATCTTAATAGGATCATGAGAAGGCCAACATTTTATGCAACCACATCATTTAAGATTACTCTTTCTAATCTTATCTGCCACTAGAGTTACTCCAACCCTTTCATGTATTTGCTTATTTCACATTCTGTCTTTAAGTATAAAGTTGCTCATCCACATGACATTCTCGTTTATACAATTCTTAACTTAATTTTATGCTTTTTTTTAATGACAAATATTCTACATCATAAAACATTAAAGGTCTGGTCACCATTTTATAAAAAAATTATTTACTTTTGCATGGTTTTTTTATGTCACTTAGCATGATCAATGCATCTTTCAAAAATGGGGTCTGCATCTCTCCACTTCAACCGTCAACTTGAATTCTACTAATAAAATCGTCATTTATTTCGCCATCACTTTGAACAATAGACACGGACAAACTCTCTTTTTAATGGCTTGATCACCCAAACTCCAAATCCTGCCACTAAATTTTATGACGACTAATTACATTCCATTTATCAGATTATCGGTCTACTCTAAAGAAAAATCTTTAAATTCTATTGCTGACCTTCAAAATTCATGTTTTTTATCAACTCCATACATAGCCTTATGACGGGAAGAATATCAGCAATAAAAAGCATCCTCTAAGGTTTAACACGATCCGAAAATCTGACTTGAACCCGATCCAAAAAATTCGGGTTAAGGTCAACATGTTTGTGAAACGGGTCAGATTTGAGTTCGACAAATCAACCCGTTTCAGAAATAGGGTCTGGTTCAGGTTGACCCGGAAACCCGGGAATGACCCGGCTCAAAACCTGACTGCGTCATATGCGTTCGCTGTCAAGTATGCCAGTGCAATTAAGTCGCGTTGTCGCGTTGACTATGCCTGCATCGTTTGCCCGTGTCGAGTCTTCGGTAGCGTGTCGCATCGAGTCCAGTTGACGACAATACCGAATGCCGCAACCATGCCACTGTCGCGCCTGAATTAGAATGCAAAACGGGTTTGATCGGGTCAACATGGTAACACACACGAATAGAGTCTGGTTGAAATATCTTACCCGTTTGCAAAATCTGATCGGATTCAGGTTGTGTCAACTAGTTGTCAGATCAGTTCTGTATTCGACCCAAATCAGACACGTCAACCGATTTTGACAGCCCTAGCTATATTGAATGGAACATAATTAAGTTAATATCGGTTGTGTGAATGTGGCTCGGTGACGGTAGTGCTGTGGGCCAGGCTTTATTAATATTCCTACGACTAGCAACAACGGTACCAATATGCGAACGCCCGCACCAAACACTAACCTGCAGCAAATCATACATCTACATAGACCGAAACGCTACCATGCGGAGCGCCCGCACGGATTTAGGCATCAAACACGGAATTAAACGTTCCCAATACAGCAGAAGGTGGCAACGGCGAAAACTGGCGACGGCGAAAACTGGCGGCCAATGAAACCGATCGGCTGACGTGCCGCCAGGTAAGTTCACCGTGTGGTCCCCACAATAATTCCCTACAATCATTTGCCTTCGTTATAGAATTGGAAAAGTTTTTCGTTAGATTGCCAATTTTATTTTCCAAAAAAACAAAAACATATTTTCAATTGAGTTGGAACGTGCAGAGCTAATTATGTACATTATTTTATTAATTGGGGTTTTTTAAAAAAAAATTATATCACTTTGCATTCTTTATGCATCTATATGTCTAGCAATTAAGAGTCTCTATGGATAATTTTATTTTATTTTATTTATAAGTTAATATAAAATAAAATCATATTTGATATATTAAATAATTTTTTATATTTTTTTATTGAAATTTATATAAAACATAAATGGTGGCTCATGAAAATGATGATCAAATGTTAACAACAACAACACAAGGTTGTGATTGGGTTCGATTTTATGTTAAAAGAAGATGGAATATCTAAATAAAAGTTTTATTATTTTAAAAATAAGTTAATTTATTTTGTTAAAATAAAAATAAAAATAATAAAAATATAAACAAAATATATTTTCTAATTGAAAATAAACAAGTGAGCCCAAAAATCTTTAAGAATTTATAGTTATTAATATAATTTCATAATTTTAAATCACACCAAAAAAACTTATGAACATTATAGTATAATTTATTTTCTAATACATATAAATTAATGTAATTTAGATATTAAACTATTATAAGGCACAAGCTAAAACCAAACCCATATTTAATTGTACATGAATAATGCAATTATAGTTCAATCATAGTTTGATTTTTTTAAAAAATATTTTCAAATATGTTTCGCTTCATATTCAAACTTTGCTTGAAGAACATATAAGTTATTTATTGATGAAGTATTTTTTAACAAGCATTAACGATCTTATATTGAATAGAGAGGCAAATGAAATATATGACATATAAGTTAGTTAGATATTCATAAAAAATGAATCAAATGATTGATGGTTTAAAAAAAAAAATTTAGAACTCATTGATCTTATATACAAAGTTTGTACCATTCGGTCTTAATATAAATCTGAAGGTGAAAAGAGATTAAGGCTTTGTAGTGTCATGAGCAAGCTATCGCCTCTATGAGAGGGGTCCCCCGAAATATCTTTTTAAAAATTATCTTCTTATTTATTTATGTTACACAGGAAAAAAATCAAGGAATAATTATTGATTTTCAGCAAGATGGTGATGGACCTTTCAAATATGTACATTTTATTTGGGTATTTGTATTCAATGATTCAAAAATATATGACACATATTGTTAAGTGTTGATGAAATAATCTTGAATATACACGGTCGATGTACTTTGATAATCGCAATAACATGAGATGCTATAAGTCAGATTTATCATATACCATTGATAGTTGTTGACTTTGAAAGTAATAAGTTGCGACTCGACTCTATTTCATAACCATATTGAAGGAGTCAGAAGTCAACAATATTGATGATGCTTTATTAGCCTTCCTTTCAGATGCATAACGTCGAGCTTTCACTTATCTTGTATTGATGAATATCATGATAAAGTTCAAAATTGATAATTGTACTGAGAAGCATCACTTAGCTTCCAAGATTATAGAAGAGTTGAGTTCTTATATTGAGATTGATGGGATCATGCTTTTTTTCTTAGAAATAGATATAACTTGATAAAAATCGATATTTCAGATAACTTCAATAATTTTTATTTCACAAAAAATCTATGATAGGTATGTAAATCCCTTTTATTATTTTATTATATATTTTACAATAATTATTTAATCATTTTTAAAATTTTAGATAAATCAAAATAAAATAATTTCATGCTATTCGGACAAATATTTTTTTTTTGAACATTTAGGTCATTTAAGAAAAACTCATACACATAACGCATACACAGAAACTCGAACCTTAAAGAGTTGGAAGCCTTAGCTCTCAACTAATAACTAATAGGCCAAGGAGAGAATTCGGACAAATATAAATGTATATTTTTTTTTCAACAGAAAGGCCCTATAAAACTAACCCTCATCCCCATTCCCATTCCAGAATCGCGCGAGAGAGGTTTCCGGCGACGTCGCCGGCGATAGGGAGCTTGGGTGGAAGGAAGGAGGGATTTGAAGTAATCAGCGTTCTGGATTGGCGAGAGGCTAGTCGAACGGCTGAGTAGAACCCTGGGACCCTGAGATGTCCTTGATGGGAAACCCTCCTCTCGGTTCCGAGAGGAGGAAAAAATTTCCATCGGCGAGAGCAGCGGCATCGATCGCTGGAGAAGAGATCCGCGCTTCATCCGCCTGGAGAAACGAGATATAGCAAAATCCCATCCATTGGTAAAAATCATTGAAGATTTTGTTCGAGCAGAATAGTTACAGCTTGAAGATTCCGCCCTATCTTCTGCTTGTTCCGCTAGGATTTCAATTCTGCTGCGATGTCGGCGTCTGCGATGAGTGGTGAGGCGGTGGGAGAAGAGGAGTTCGGATTCGCGGAGTGCGAGTGTTGCGGGCTGACGGAGGAGTGCACGGCGGCCTACGTGGCGGCGGTGAGCGCGAGGTACGGCGGGAGGTGGATCTGCGGGCTCTGCGCCGAGGCGGTGGGCGAGGAGATCTGCCGGTCTGCAAAGCTGATCTCGACGGAGGAGGCGTTGCAGCGACAAATGAGTTTCTGCTTGAGTTTCCGATCGGCGACTTCTCCGCCGACGGCGGAGACCGGCGATCACCTAATTGCCGTTGTTAGGCGGCTCATCCGCCGTAGTCTCGACTCGCCACCCCGCCTTCTACTGTCTACCTCTCGCAGCACTTCCCGGAAGGTTCCCGCCGTATCCGGCCAGACGGAAAACTGCTTGGCGACTATTGGGGGTAATTACCTCAGCGATGTCGGAGATGTCGATCATCTCGAGGTAAAGAGGTTGAACTTCAATTAATCTGTTGGCGGAATCAAAATTTGAATGAAAAAACTCATCAGAGATTTTGAACAACCGGCTTATATCTACAACTACAAGATAATTTATCAGTAGCTTTTCTCTAATCAATAATTACTAAAAAAACAAAAAGATGAAGCATGAGGACAACCCAGATCTTCCCACCGCTTCGGTTCATGAAGAAATTTGTCAAAAATCTCAGAGGTAGGCTTTAATCTTCATTTTGTATGGAATCAGCAACTGTAAAATATCAAAATTCCCTCACTGTTTTCAGATTGTTGTTGGTAGTTGTTCATCTGTCATATAAATCTCTGTTCTATTTTGTTCATCGTTTTCCACAAATGAATTGCTACCCTGCTATTGTTCTGCTTTGAATGTATCTGAAATCAATATTACAAAAAATTATTATAATTTTTTTTTTTAATAAAAATCATATCAAAATATTCTGATCTGTAAATCATTGCCAACGCGTTAGCATAGCGTGCACAATTCCATACCATCAGTAGCGTGTGCATCTAATATCTTAGGAGAATTTTTTTTTTATTTAAAAAATATTTTTTAAAGTTATATAAAAAATGTTTAATTATAAAAGTAAAATACACCTGTTTCATGCGCGCGGTTTAATATTCTTTTTATTTTGTGAAATTAAATATTTTCATTAACAAACAAATATGACTTTAAGATTAATTATTGATGATAATTACATCTGTTTGTGGGGCTGCCACTACTGTATAATAATGACTAAGACAACATTAGAAGACAAATTTTATTGCTGATGTGAGAAATTTCATTATTTTGTAATTTGTGAAATGTCAGAGGCAATTCATAAGAGGGGAATACTTTAGTCTTATCTTTGAATGTGATCATTTGCATGTCATAATAAAATATGATGTTGTTATGAAACTGCAATTTAATTAAAATTTAGGCATTTTTAATTCTCTTATTTATATTTATATATTTTATGGTTTCAATCACAGTCTTAAAAATAAAAAAAAAAATCTTTTAAATACAAATTAATTTTTTATTAGCTATTTTTCTTATGAAGAAAACAATTGAAAAGCTATTTCAAATAAAGCCTTTTGGAATATGGCTAATGTTTCGTTTGGGACACTTTTTTAAGTGCTTTTTAAAATAGTTTCTTAGGCTTCGTTTCGGATGACTTTCTTATTGCTTCTTAAAACAGCTTTCTAGTATAAAAATTAAAATTTTTATATTAAAAAGCTATTTTAAAAAACAACAAGAAAGCCGCCCCAAATAAAGCCTTAGTATTAAAAAAATTTTAACTTGAAGTTTTCCTACTAAAAAATTGTTTTTAAAATAAGATATTAAAATTTAGGCATTTCTTATTGAGAAGTTTTCTTAGTAAAATGGTCAATCTTAGGCCTCATTTTAAAATATTTTTTCTTAAGTGTAATGGTTATTATTATGGAAAAGTAAATGAAGTCTATTTTCATGTTTCATAATTTTGCTAAAAATGGTTTTAAGTTATTTTGGATAAAAATTTTGCTGAGTAATTTTAAAAATGTCCAAAAATATTCTTTTTTTTTAATCTTAAAACTATAATCCATAGAGATTTTATGAGATGTTGTCCTCTTTTAATGGAAGGACTTCATAAAGCTTATTTTCTCATTAAAAAGCATGCTCCTTTAATAGAAGGATTTATAAATTATTTTTTTTAAAAATGTCTATGATTACTGTATAAATTATCCTACAATTATTAAATGCTTCTATAATTTCTATTCTTAATTATTAATATTAATTCTTAATCTTAAATTAATTATCTAACTGATAAATATGCTGTTACAATAAATAAATATGGTTAATTAATAATCACATTTATTTTTTATTTACTCAACCTATATCATAATCACTATACTTTTTATCAAATAAATTCATCTATTATAACATTTGAAAATTCAATCATTACTTTATTTGATGGTATGTCTCAACACCACATAAAAACTACACAAAATCACCAAAAAAAAAAAAAAAAAAAATCAAAATAAAATTACAACATGCATCCTTAATAATAGGGGTGTCAAAACTTGACCCAAAAAATTTCGTGTTTGGGTCAACCCATTTGCAATACGCGTTGGATTCAAGTTCGAGATTCTAACTCGTTTGTAAAATCAGATATGGTTCGGGTTGACTCATAAACCCGAAATTGACCCGAAATGACATGCACGGAGGCACTCAAATATACCCTCTACAGCGCGATCCCTCCCTCCGTAACGCACTAACAGCGCTCGACTCGAACTTGCGTCCGAACTCTGGATCCCAAACCCGTGATCACGCCCTCTGCACTACTGCATATGTTGGCGTCTTTGTTATTATGGTATCCCTAAGAGTCAGTCCATCACCCGTCGTTGAGAGTCTACCTCGCAACTGCTTCTGATGTTTGTGAGATGAACTTTGACGATGGACACCATGCTGATCACGGATTAGATGCAGCGTGCCTGTGCTCAATCCCGGACAAGCGATCCTGCCCTTCGCAGCATGTCAACGCTCGATCCTAGAGCACGCAACGCCAGCTACTCAACGAGCCCTCTGGAGTTCGGACATGCGCCACTCTCCGCACACAAAATTGGGTTCGCGGGTCGGGTCATGTCAACCCGATAACCCGTGCAGATTATGTCCAGGTTGGACTTCATAATTAGTTTGCAAAACCGGGTCAGATTAGTGGTCAAACGTTTAGACTCTGGTCAATTTAGGTTGGACTCATATCCAACTCGTTAATCCGTTTTGACACCCCTGTTAGTAATATATTACACAAAACTATGATAAATTAACAAAGCTAATAACTTTGTCAAATGGACCTTTGATAATTAAATTATAATATAGATAAATTAATATATTGACTAATACATATTTTGAAGGGCCATTCCTTGTAAATTTGCCCAATATTTTTGAATATAAAAATGGCCTATAACCCTTCTAAGTAAAATATAAGAAAGTCTAGAAGCTAAAGCAAGAAGACTTATATATGTAAGTTATATTAGATTGGAAATTCAACGTAGCCGCTCAAATGCAGCTTTCAAAGGCATTATTTTCTTCCATTGTGTTGCTTAGTCCAATAAGAGAACAAATAGATTGTATCAGCTCAAGCTAGCATTGATTTTAGGGCTACATTAGTTGTCTAAAGATATGAAATATATTTTAAAATTATGAATTTTAAGTATTCACATAAAATCATAATATTTAAATATTTTTTTTATTATTTTATTAGTTTATGTGATTAATGTGACCTAATAAATAAAATTATTATTTTAAATGAGTAGTTTCAAGGAATCAGATCGAGTACAGATGAAGATTTGGTGTGATATTTTGAATAAAATATATTTAAAAATATCTTGATTCATTATTAAATTCTATAACTATTGAGGTTATAGTATTTTGGTATTGGATGCCCTAGCATTTATGATAGAGGGATCATATGAATTAGTTTAGCTATCAAATTAGAATGGCCCACTCCAATTTAGTCCTACTTCTCTAGTTTCTATGGGGTAGTGCTTTGATTTGACTTATTTACCCTTACGTTAATGGATGGAGAAATTATTCTGTGCGAAGTTCGAACATAGTTCTGTGTCCGTACTTCAATAAAATCTCGACATCGGGATTGTATATATACGTGGATATTCATTTCTAATTTGCATTCAAATTTTTTTCTTGCAAGCCCGATTGACCCAGCCCAGAAATTGCTTGTTCAAATATTAGGGTTTAGGATTAAGCTCTTTTTTAAGTGAAATACCACGAAAATTCTATATTTTTTAGGATTTTGACTTAATAAACTTTTCATAACAATTAAGAAAAAAGAATCGAGGAGAAGCCAATGAAGATAAAGACTGGTTTGAAGGAGAAAAAGCTGACAAAGATGAAGACTGGTTTGAAGGAGGAAAAATCAATGAAGATGAAGACTGATTTGGAGAAGGAAAAGCCACAAACGCGGTATTTCATTGAACTAGTTGTTAATTACATAACATATTGAGACCCAGAAGCAACAAAGTGCCCGCTCTTTATTGTAATTATTTATTATTGATTAGACGAGTTAAGCCTATATTGTATTTAAGAAAAATACAATAAAACACTTGCATTTTTTTTTTAATTTTTATTACTTGTGTTGTATTATTTATCTTCAATATTTATAATAACAAATTCTATCATTAAATCATTGATATCATCATCAACCTTCCTTTGTTAAATATTTAAAATATAAATAATATGACTATATGAGATATCTATATATCAGAATTTACACAGTATTTTCTTTAGAATAATCACAACATTCATAATTTCTCCCAATATCTCTCTCTCTGTGTGAATATCCCACGACCAATATCTTATAAATGCCCCCTCCCTCATATTAATAAGTCTGCTGGTCTTATTTAATAGAGTTGGTAGCCATCAAACATATTTATAAAGCTCACTACCGTCAGCTTAATAAGGCTGACCAAAATGTGCCATCGAATTAATTTAGTTTGACTGGAAGAAAATTTCTTTGGGGGCATTTAGGTCAATAAAGACAGACTCACTGACGCAACATCTATATAAGACTTGAATTCAAAATCTATTAGTTGATAGTCAAAGCTTTCAATCAACAGATCAAGATAAGCTGTGAAAGAAATTTTTATGATCAAACATTATGAAAAATTTTCTTCGTTGAGTTGCTTTCTAGTCCAAGATAAGACCCAGACAGGGCAAAAAATGTACATATTTATAAGTCATGTGCCATGCCTTTATTTCATATGGACACATTTGGATCTGCCACTCTTATCATTCATTTATAGGGACCATATGATATCATGATAGGGTTGACCAAAAATTTAGATAAATAATTAATTTGTGTATGATTATTTTTTTAAAAGTTTATTTATTTAATGAGTTAAATGTGAATAAAGTCTTATTTTGTTATTGTTGAATTTAAAGTTATGGATAAATTAAACTAAATTTTACTAAAAATATTGAGGAAGAAGAGTGAGTGAAAATAATTTTAAGGTAAATTGGAAATGCAGTGTATTGGAAATATTTGGATGAATGTAAAATAAATGCAGACGATACATATTTTTTTATATGATTTGAAATAAAATGAAACTGTAAAGTTCAATATGGTGGTGATTAGTGGTGGCGTGCGGCGACAGACAACAACAAAATGTGACAGTGGTCTAGTAGTGGCGGCTAGTGGGGATTGTCATCCAGCAATGACAACAACATCCAATGGCGAGGGTGCTTGCCAGCTGTCGGCTGTTGACAGCTTGAGCGGAGTTAGCTTGTTATGTATTTATATACTAAGCAAAAAAATCAGCATATATATATATATATATATAAGCTAATTTTTTTGCTTAGTATTAAAATTTTATATTTTATTTATAGAAATAAATTAAATCTTCAATTCCTAAAATGTTACTTCATATTAACTTATTTAAGATGATATCCTTTTGATGGCATCTTTAATTTGATATAATTTAAATAGAAGGGTGTTATACGAAGCAAATATAAGAATATATAAATTATAATAATTGTGTGGATGTTATTGTAAAGTTTTTTGGTTTTCTCTTCTGCTTTTTAATGTTATGCAATCAATAATATTAATAGCAATTTGCTCAAATAATAAAGTAATTGTATTTAGTCAAAAACACATGATAATATATAATTTATTAGAAAATAATAAGATTGTTCAATCATAAATTCTTTGTTTGACAAGTTTTCACTTGATCAAGTAATATTCCACTTAAAGAATAATTAATTTAAACTTAATTGGCTAATGTTCAACTCTGTCAATTAAGGTCATCACATCAAATTTACTAAAAATTATGGAAAATATTCCTGATATAAATTATAAATAATGAATTTAAAATAATTAAATTTCTTAAAAAGAAGCCGTAGTTTAAGGGCATGTTTGAGAACAGCCGGTGCCGACGAACGGGCAACATATGGAGATTGTTGAGAAGCAGATTCGGTGGCGGTTGCAACGGTCGGAAGTCCACAACCGATCAGTGTTGGGAAAAAATCCGGTTTGTTGTGCTAGAGAGCTCTCACAACTTTCATCCTTTTAGCTCTTCCTATTTTTGACCCCCTCCCTCATGTGAAGAGATGAGCTGAATTTATATTTTTTTGTTGTTGTGAATGATGGGGCTTGACATAAGATCAATGCATGTTTTAGATGTTCCATCGGACGGCTTATAATGATCCCCTTGAACATGAATTGTTTATTAAGCATTTAGATGTCCTAGAGATGTTAGAATTGAGTGATTTTAGGCTCGTTGAATTCGCCTCGTCAAGCTGCTCGATTCGACTATAAGCATGCCATATTTGGATGTCATTCAGTTATCCAATTAATGCTCTAAAGCTTCCAAAGATGTTTTGATCCTTTTATTAGAATCCATTTGGGCTCGATTGGACAATTTTTGGTGTTGTTGGCTCGTCTTCTTGAGATGTTCAATTTGACTATAAGCTTGCTAAAATTGTAGACTAGAGCTCTAGATTTAATTTTTGAAGCTTCAATCTCATATATTGCATCGAGATTTGTGTCTGATCAAAATAAACCTAATCCCATCTTCGCATCTAGATTTTGCTGGGTCATAATGAATTTTGATGGCGTATCAAGTTAAATAAATTTTTTTTTACTATAAGCATTAAATGTGTTACTAAACAGTTAAATAAATGTTTAAGAAGTTAGGTTGAAATAAATTGTATAATTAGTGAGAGAGAATGTCTCATCTGGTTGAATATAGATAAAAGTTATATTTTTATAAAAAAATTTTGAAAAACTTTTAATGAAGTTTATGAAATTTATAGTTCATATTAGTTATAATTACCTCAAATAAAATGATAAATTTAATAATTCTAATTTTTTTTAATTTAAAGCCAATCTACAAATCCAATGTGGACCACTTAGACTTTATTTGAGACAACTTTTTTACTGTTTTTTTAAATATTATTTAGCATAAAAATTTTTTATTCATTTTTATACTTAAAAGTTGATTTAAAAAAAAAATTCCAAAAAAGTCTGTGAGAATAAATAACAACTAGAATTATTAAATTTTATATTTAAGAAGAAATTTATTTATAAAAAATAATTTATTTTAACTTATTAATTCTGATTAAAATTAAAGAAATAAATAAGAATGTTGCGACCCGACCCGACAACCCACTCCAGGTCCCCAACCCACCCTCACGTACCTGCCCACAAAAGAGTTTCGAAGCTTCGCGGCTGGCCATCGTTCTCGTCGTGGCGCGTACCCGTGGACGAAACCCTAAGCTGAAGTTACATGACCTAATTCTCTAAACTCCATTGCTTCGTCCTCGTCTCTTCTCAACTCGATTAACAGGAGTCTCGATTACATTTTTTATGATCGGATGCCGAAACCCTAAAGCCGATCCCCACCAATCGAAATAGCGGAGTTAGCGTAATTCACGGTCATGGAGGAGAGGGCGAGACTCTCCCGTAAGTTTTCTATAGTATTTATTAGTTTCTGTTCTTTGATTCCCCTTTTGCTCTTTTACAACAAAGAAGACGTGATCAGGAGCCCTCTCCTCCGCCAAAATTCTAACTTTCATTTGCCCTGGCGGTTGCCCCAACTCACCCCTAGTAGTCATCGGAGGCTTGCGGAGCTTTCTTCGATCAATTCTTCGCATGCTGCCTTAGATAATGAACGGATGCCTGGGAATCCGACTGAGGTTTGCTTCGGAATAAAGCAGCACGAGGGCTTCGCCTCGAGTTGCGAATTTCTAAAGTCCCATCCAGATTGCAGTTCTGGTGGATTTGTCAATTATATATCTTTATTCTATTGTGGTTGTGAGAAAGTTCAAGTCTTGGGGTATGCTATTCTTGGTTTGTGGCTGCTGGCTCTATTCTATCTATTGGGCAACACGGCTGCAGATTACTTCTGCTGCAGTCTTTCTAAGCTCTCTAGTTTATTGAAGCTACCGCCTACTGTTGCCGGGGTAACATTGCTTCCGCTTGGTAATGGCGCTCCTGATGTTTTTGCCAGCATCGCTGCTTTTGTGGGTTCTGAAGCTGGAGAGGTTGGTTTGAATAGCGTGCTTGGCGGTGCAGTCTTTGTTACTTGTATGGTGGCCGGGATCATCTGTTTATGTGTTGCTGGGAAGAATGTAGAAATTGATCGGAGATGCTTCATCAGGGATATTGGATTCTTCTTATTGGCGTTGGTGGCGTTGTCATGGATCTTAATAGTTGGGAAGGTGAGTGTTTGGGGTGCTGTCATGTTCGTTTTTATCTATGCGGTGTATGCCTTTATAGTCGCTGCAAATGAGATACTGAGGAAACATGCCAGGATTTTTAAGTTGAATGCTGTGACGCCATTATTACCAGTTAGAGGGAGCATATTTTCTCAGGGAGATGAAGAAGATGAATCCGTGTATGGCTCTCTCCTGGAATACGACTCAAGTGATGATGTGCCGCAGTTGCATAGTAGCTTGCCTCAGTGGATGTGGGCGTCAAATGTGGCAATCTACTCAAATCGTGGGCACAAGGGTGGGATGGGTGACAATTCAAGGCCTTTATGGGGATGGAGTGAAGATGGAGAGGAAGATCTTCCATTATTTTCTTGTAGAAAACTCTTTATGGTTATTCAAATGCCACTTTCACTCCCAAGAAAGCTGACAATTCCAGTTGTTGAGGAAGAAAGATGGTCTAAACATTTTGCAGTAGCAAGTGCAGCATTGGCACCTTTGCTCTTGGCATTTTTGTGGAATTCTAGAGGAAGTGAGAGTCTCATGGCAAACTTAGCTGTTTATGTATTTGGTAGTCTTGTAGGCATCACTCTAGGCGTTCTTGCATTCTTTTTTACCGGGCACGATCGCCCGCCTCAAAGGTTTTTGCTTCCATGGGTTTTAGGAGGATTTTTTATGAGCATTGTTTGGTTTTATATTGTCGCGAATGAGTTGGTTGCCCTTTTCCTTGCTTTGGGTGTGATATTGGGAATCAACCCGTCCATTCTCGGACTTACAGTGATGGCATGGGGGAATTCCATGGGTGATTTGATGTCAAATACTGCTCTAGCTTTGAATGGTGGGGAAGGAGTTCAGATTGCCATGTCAGGTTGCTATGCAGGACCTATGTTCAATACCCTTGCTGGGCTAGGGATATCAATGTTGCTTGGGGCATTTTCAACTGCACCATCTTCATACTTCCTTCCCAATGATAGTTCCTTGATTTATACAATGGGGTTTCTTATGACCGGACTCGTCTGGTCTCTGCTAATCTTACCAAGAAGCAATATGCAACCCAGCAAGCTATTAGGCTTTGGCCTTATAGCAATATATGTTATATTTCTCTCTTTACAAGTGAGTAGTGCTGTGGGTATGGTTTCAATTGGAGGTTTGCATTGAAGATATTCAAAAAAGTGATCTCTCTGTGGGTGAGTAAAAATTATGTGCCATTTTTTTTCACTTTTATTGCAACTCACCTTGCAGTTGGTGTAACATGTGAGTGGAATTGTGCATGTAATACATCTTTTCTAATATGATGATACTTTTGGAGTTTTGTTTATGTGTCATTATCAGTTTTATTGAAGTTGCTTAGGCAACCACATTCAAAAACTGCTTACAACTCAAACTTTCCTCTTCATGCGATCTTATGTTTGTTGTAGTGGGCCTAGTGGCTAGTATTGTGTATTTGTGTGCCACCTGAACTTTCATGACCACCATAGATCGCAAAAGATTGCTGGTATGTTTCTTTGTCCTTGATTTGTTATCAATGCAGCTGGCTTAAAATTTAATACCTTTTTAACTTTTTTGGTTGCTTGCTCCACTTGTTAGGTTTTGCAGTAACTATTCCATGCTATGTGTCTATTGGAATTTATATATATATATTTTGTTTATAATCTCGGATAAACGAAGGACACTGACAAATTTTTGTATAGGGTTGCTATTGAGTCTCTTTACATTTTTCAATGTTTATTAACTAATTGAGCTAAAAACATATCTTTTTCCTCCAAAAATGCTGCTTTTTTTCAAGTTTGAGAAAATTACACATTCTTTTGAAGTTCCCAAAATTTTGATGCGGCTGGCAGCAGCCTAGCTGCCCAGGTAGGCAGCAATCAAGGCCCCCCAAGTGGGGCCCAAGACCTCCTTTATCTCATATAGGAGAAGTGGCTTTGGGGGAGAACTCTTTGGGAAATGGAGGAACTCTTTGGGAAAGATGTAAGGGACATTTAATAGGGGATTTAGGCTGTTAAAGGGGAGAGATTATGGAGTAGCTACTAAGAATTGTGGGAAGGATGATTAACCTCTTGAGCAGTGAATCAAGTTGTATGTTGTGTTACTTTGCTTGAAAATTAGTAAAAACAGCTCTTTTGGTATTATTTATGAATATATTTAGAGTAAGTTGCTGTTTTTTTATATTGTTGTGTGTTGTTTTGATCATCAAATCCAAACAAGATTTGTTACCTATGGCGCCGAAGAAAGTGGATGCTTTGGAAGAGAAACTAGAAGTAGAAGCTGGTCAATTCAAATATGAAGTTGAGGAAATGATTTCATCCATGGAAGAAAGGTTTTATAACACAGAGGACATGATGAAGAAAATATTGGAGCAAAAGAAGTAGATTGGACTGGTAGCATTCTTCTATAACCTTTAGCATTACCCGAGAAGGTGTGAGAATATGTGACTATGGATTTCATTGAGGGACTAACTAGATCAGAGGAGTTCACTATAATTCTATTGGTGGTGGACATATTGAGCAAATATGCTCATTTCGTTTCCTTACGCCACCCATACACCGCGGTGTCAGTGCCAACCACATTCATTAGAGAGGTGATCCGTTTACATGGCATACTTGAGGTCATTGTGCCCAATCATGACAAGGTCTTTCTGAGCCACTTATGGAGGGAGTTATTCAAGATGCAAGGGACCATCCTGAAGTGGAGTACAGCTTACTACCCACTGACTGATGGTCAGACAGAGGTGGTGAATTGCAATGTGGAGAGTTATCTTCGTTGCTTTGTATCAAATACATCAAAAATGTTGGCCAAATGGTTAGTCTGGGTGGAATATTGCATAACACTTCATATCATACATGAGCCCATACAATGCCATTTAAAATTCTATATGGGAGGGATCCACCTCATCTGATACATTATGCGCATGACAACACACTAGTGTAATCAGCAGAGTGTACTTGGGAGAAAGAGATTGAACTTTGACAGAATTGATGGAACTTCTTCTGAGAACACATCAAATAATGAAGAAGTTGGCCGATGAACATAGGAGAGACGTGCAGTCTGAGGTCGGGGATATGATTTATCTGAAGATACTATCCTACAGACAGAGGACTTTGGCTCGACAAAGGAATGAGAAGCTCTCTCCCCATTACTTTGGACCCTATGAGGTAGTGGAGCGCATTGGCGTAGTAGCATATCGCTTAAGGTTGCCATCGACCTTAACCATCCATTATGTATTTCATGTATCACAACTGAGATGAACCATTGAAAATCATACACCTAGGTCCGCACTACTGGCCACACTGTCAGATGATATGGAGGTGATATTTGAACCACTGCAGGTGAAAGGGGTGCACCAAGGAGACAAATGGATTAAGGAGATGATGATTAAGTGGAAGAATTTACTAGAGTATGAGGCTACATGGGAGCCTTATAGTACCATCTAGAAGCAGTTTCCCTTTTTTTCACCTTAAGGAGAAAGTGACTTTTTGGGAGGAGAGTATTGATGCAGCTGGAAGCAGCCCAGCTGCCTAGGCGAGCATCAATCCAACTACCCAGGTGGGGGCCTAGGATCTTCTTTTCGCGTATAGGAGAAGAGGATTTAGGGGGGGAACTTTTTGGGTAAAGGGGGGAACTCTTTGGGAAAGATATAAGGGGCATTTGTTAGGGGATTTGGGCTGTATAAGGGGGGAGATTATGGAGGGTTAGTGTTTATGTTATGTTATGAATTTTTGTAGCAGTTTTTGTGATGTGTTTTGTTTCCTAGTGGCAAGTAAGAATTGTGGGAGAGAGGATTCACCTCTCGAACAGTGAATCAAGTTGTATCTTATCCTACTTTGCTTGAAAATTAGTAAAAACAGCTCTCTTGGTGTTATTGCTAGATCTATTTGGAGTAAGTTGTTTTTTATTTTATTATGTGTTGTTTTGATTATTAAGTCCTATCAAATTCATCCTCTGTTCCTTTAAGAAAGCCTTTGCTTGTTGATTGACGAAGTTCTTTTTTTATGTGTGCCAAAAAAATTGCTATTGTTTTATTTGTTATTTGCTACATACCATTGTCACTATACTATTTGAGGTTGCTATTTACCCCTTTTTTGTCTTAGATTAAGTTTTGTCCCACTGGTTATATTTCCCTTACATTATTTTAAATATTTTGAAATTTGGCTGATGAAACTTTGCTGGAGTACCTCGCTTTCATCATTTTAAATCATCTATATTAATTCGTTCACACATTTTACCCTATGATTTACTAATTAGTTCATATTCCTCAACTCAACGTCAATATTTACCCATTCCAGTTTATCTAATTTTCAATTTTTTTAAATAGTTGAATAGTAGTGTTTTGGTCATGTTTAAGTCAAAATTGTGACCTGTTTCTATTTAATTACTTTCAGGCTTTGTGATGCAGGAGCTTGTTCCTTCATACAGCAACCTTTCCATATTCCACATGCCATGGCGACTTTTCTAACAAACTTTCTATTTTGAATATTTCAACCTTTGTACAAATGATGCTTGGCCATGACTTTAGCTAGGAATATAACATATAGTAATGAGTAGTAGATTGGACTGGTGGCATTTTTTTTTTTTTAAAAAGAACGTATGCTTGGTTATGTTGGTTCTTCTTTGTGAAGAAACTTGCAATATAGTGTTAGACCGGTCCATTGGACCGGTCTAGCCGGTCCCGTATGGACCAGATCACGCGAAACAGGCGGACATTTTCCGTCTGTCTGTGCTGCCGATCGAACCGCAAATCCCACGAAGCAATTTAGGAAGGGTTTTTGAGGGAGTTAGGAGGGAAATTTGAATGTAGGGAATGTTTAGAGATTTCTTTTTGAATTGTATGTATTAAATAGTTTGTTTTCCTAGGTTTAGGGCATATTGAATTTGACTGAAATTTGAGATCTCCTATATTTAGGTTTTCCTTTGGGTTCTGGCCAGCGTCTAGAGATTGGGAGAGATCGATCCTCCTCTCGAATAGATGATCAATTGTATCTTGCTATTTTCCGTTTCTCTTTCATCAAATAATACAAATTATCTACAGCTTCCGTCGTTTTGTGCGGATTTTTATGAAGAATTCTCGTTGTTTTCCAAAGATTGATAGGAAATACTTGAGATCTACAAGTGTTTTCTATCATATAGATTACTATTCTCTACTATTGCTTGCTTTTTTGTTTTGTTTTGAATCCTGGTAAGTTGCTTGCGACATAACTGCTATTAGAGCTCACAAGCTTTGCAAGTTATGGCCAAGAGCAGCAGACAACAAGTATCTGATGATGATCAGAACCTGGAGGCCCTATGGGCAGCTCAATTGAGTTTCAACCAGCTACTGGATGATCTCAAGACTGAGTTCTTCAGGTTTTCCGTATAGATGAGGCTTGACTTCAAATACTTCAAGACTAGAAGACTCGTGACTCTGGAACCAATTGCTTTAGTCATGGAGGAGGGAAGGCAAGGGTCCTATTTAGAGCTAGTTTCAGATAAAACAATCACTGTGAGGTCACTTCCTACCTATTTTAAACAAGTGTTGTGATAAAAAACAATTGTAGATCTCAAGTATTTTCTATCAATTTTCGGCAAACAGCTAGAATTCTCTACAAAAATTCACACAAAACCACAAAAACAGTAGATAATTTGTATTATTTGATGAAAGGGAAACGGAAAATAGCAAGATACAACTGATCCTCTATTCGTGAGGAGGATCGGTCTCTCCCAAATCTCTAGACGCCACTAGAGCCCAAAAGAAAACCTAAATCTAAGAGATCTCAAATTTCAGCCAAATTCAAGATGCCCTAACACCCTCGAAAAATTTCATCATCAGAAATTATCAAGATTGTAGAATCCATAACTTCAAAATTCCATTCATAATACGACTATTTAAAATAACTGTGGAGACTTGACGTAACTCACCTAAAAAATCTCAAATATGTTCATTCTTTGCCTAATCTGATGCAATTTTCACAGTTTTTGGTGGATTTCATGCAGTAAATGAAGGAAATTATTACCACAAATGCTAAGATCAGTCTTTACCAACAAGGTCAATGTCTATTATTATCAATATGGCTGATACATATCATGATAACCAAGATCATTACATATCGCCACCATCAAGGTTAATGTATGCCATTAAACAAGGACCAATAGAGATCGGATCTGCGGCTGAGTGATCGACGGAAGAAATTTCTAAGGCCAATATATGTAATCCCAAATAAGGCTATTGCACATAGCCACCACTATTAAATGTTCATTAGCCACCCATATTTGACATTCATTTTTATGATCATCAATCTCAATATAGCGAAGGAATAACAATTATTTTATGATAATTCTAACACATTAATGCCCTCCCTACCACCATATGAGATAACTCCAATAATTTATATATATTATTTTACTATATTTTCTAATTATAGATAAATATTTCATATATAATCAAAATAAGCTAGATTTAATAACCTAAATATCACTCAATTATGATATAATCAATGTACTAATCAAAGAATAAACACCAAATGTTTGTAGTGTCTAGTTTTCTAATTAAAATAAAGCACCCTTTGCAAGTTTCAATCCCTAATTTGATTAATAATATGTAAATCATTAGCCAAAAAGCCAATTCGGCCTTCTTTCATAGCCCAATGCTGGCACAGAAGAAATATGAAATTTTTACTGAATATGATGTAGGAAGCCATTGTATGATTGAAAGCAAATTCAAAACATACTATAGCTCTCATAAAGCCCATGGACTGGAATTTTTATTAGGTCCGGTGTCTTGACGTAGCTCTATGTTCGGACGCCAGTAAAATGGTGTCACGTGCTCTTAATCTTTATCGCACGGCCCGACGACCCGACCCAGACCGGACTCGGGATTGCTATGTATTGGCTGATTTGTGCAAACCGGGGTATTGCTAGGTATTGCTCGATATTGCTCGGCAATAATGAGAAATACCATTATATCAAGATTAACACCTAGCAATACCGAGCAATACCCCAATTTTGCTAGGTATTGGTCTTGACAGAGCGGTATTTCTCGTTATTGTCAAGCAATACTTAGTAATACCCGAACATAGCAATATTGGGTTCCGGTCCGGGTCGGGTCATCGGGCCGCGCTGTAAAGAGTAAGAGCACGTGGCGACATGTTATTGGCCTCCTGATGTAGAGCTACTTCCGACGTCCGGACCTAATAATTGTTCCATGGACTGGGGCATGATGACCCCGATGTTGTTTTAGCCTAGTGGGCTTTTCCAGTTAATGGCTTTTTGTACTGATGGGCCGTAATTTAGGTTGCTTGGAATTGATAAGTTTTTTAAGAACTCAATAAAACTCATTTAATGATTATTTAATTCTTATTTGATAACATATTAAATATTCTTACATTGTTTTTATGTTTATATACTTTAAGAACTACGCATATTATTGGAGGTATAAATTAGATTAAAATATCAAATAAATAATTAGATATATAAATTAAAATATTGTGCTAAATATGGTCCATCTGATCTCCAAATGGAGCCTATATGATATCAAAAATTACTACTTCAGCAATTGAAATGATTTATTACCAAATATTTGATCAGAATAATATTATTTTTTAAAAATAATATTTTAATAATCACCATCAATACTTCTTTATGTAAGAGATTGTCGCGTGAGAGATTAATATGGCTTATATTTTTTTTAGCTTTGACTGTCATTATTTCTAAATCTTTATTTTATAAAGAGCATGTTAATCATCATAATTAGCAAGAGGAGCATATTTATTTATGAATTTAAAAATGAGTCAATTCTTCAAAATAATTGGCTGATTCATAATCAATTAAATTTTTCTCATCCGTCTCTCTCTCCATCTAGCCTCTCTCTCACCCTCCTTATCTTTGTCTCTCTCTCTATCTCCCTCCCTACTCTCCGGTTTCTCTCTCATGGTTCTTTCCCTCTCTCTCATCCTGAGGTGAGGAGAATACTTCAAAAGTTTTGACTAATTATTTAGTTTTTTTAAAATAGCCATTTATCTCTCCCTCTAACTCTTTTCTCTCATATTTGAGTTGAATGCGACAAACAAAATAGCGCATTGAGAATGCCATATTTATTTTGGCTCATTTTGAATGCGCTATTTTATTTGGCGAATTTGCACCTTTTTAAATTTTATATTAAATATGTTCCTTTTGCTAATTTTGAGGATTAAGCGGCTGGTATATAAAATTTGCACTATTTTTTATCATAATTTTAAAATTTAAAATATTTTCACAACTCAACTTAATTTTTTGGCTACTCAGATCTTGGGTTGAGTATTGCATATCTGATATGTGTATAAATTTGTCTTAATTGACATAAGTATCTCAAAATAAAATTTAGGAAAATTTAAAATATTACTGTTATAAAATTATTATAAGTATCATACTTTTTTTTTTATATTTAAAATATCATATAATTTCACCCAAAAAAAATATCATATCAATTTTTATAATTATCTCTCGCTATTAAATTTGATTATTGAAAAATAATTATAATAAAAAAAGAAAATATCGGCAAGTCGCGAGAGCTCTGCTAGGGTTAGGGTTTTTTTGGCGACTCGTTTGGTGCTTCATCTGGTGATCGGAGGGATCCGCTCCGATGGATCCCTCCGTCTTGGAGTAAGATTTTCCTCCTCTAGCGCACCCTCTCATTCCTCGCACTGCTGCTGGAGACAAATCTACAAGATCGTGGGATCGCATCCTTTCAGGACCAACTTCTAATGCATGTGAGTTTATGATATCCCCCTTGCCAATGGAAGAAGAAATCATCAATTTTCCTTCTGAAGATATTACTGAAGCCGTAAATGAATGGGATCTGGCGCTTGTTGGCTACTCTCTCGGTAAGAGACCTTACTATGAGGCGCTCCTTAACTCTGTCAAAAAGCTCTGGAATCTCAAAGGTAGTCTGAAACTTATCTCTCTTAGCGAGGGTTTTTTTCTGTTCAAATTTTCCAATGCAGAAGATTATGATCTAGTTTGGAGTAGAGGTGCATGGTTTATTTTTGGAAAACCCTTTATTTTTCAAAAATGGAATCCACACTTTTCCCATTCCAATGCAGAAGATTGTGTTCAAGTTGATGCCAAAGCGACCTTCCCTGAAACCATTCCTATATGTGTTGAAGGCAAACTTTTTAACTTAAAAATTCAATATGAATGGCGTCCTACCTTCTGTGAATTTTGTGGTTCGCTTAATCACTCTCCTTCAAAATGTTCTGCTAATCCTAACCCTGAAATTAACAATATTCCTAATCCTCCTAGGGGGAGAAGCACTAGTCGTAGACCTAGACCCCACTCTTTAAATCCTAAAGGTCTTCTCCCTATTCCTAATTCTTCCACCAAGAATAATGTTATGGTTGATGATTCTGCCGAACACCGGGAAGCTATCCCTGTTAATACAGATCATGACTTGACTCATTTCTCGGCTTGTGCTCCTACTGAGGTTTCTAATCAAATGGATCTTCCTAGTAGCTCAGCTTTGCATTATAAGGATGTGAATATTTCTACAAAAGAAGGGGCTGATCTTAACACAGAGAAATTCAATAACAATAAGAGTATTGAGAATTGTCCTATGACTGATAATATTGTTCCTATAGCTATTTTAGCTGGGGCAAGCACTAACATCCCTAATCTCAATTCTTCTACTTCTTTGACTTCCTCTACCTCTGCTCCCAATAAGTTTAATTCTGATGGAAAGAAACAGAATAGAGTTACTTATGCTAACAAGTTTAGCGTGCTCCAAGATGATAATGAAGATGACTCCTCTTCATCCTTACACAATGAGGGAATGGAAGAAACCAAAGGGTATTCTGGCAAGAATAAGAAAGAAAATCTTGGTAATTCTAATACCAAAATGATGAATTCTATAGAAACTTCTTCGTATAGGAATACTAGGGGAAAGGGCAACCGTAAAGGCCCTAATCAAAAATCATAAGTTTCTTATGAATTGTCCAACACTGGCAGCCTGGAATATTAGGGGTTTCAATAACCCGGACAAAGTTTTTTGCTGCAGGAATTTGGTCAAAGAGCATATGCTTGACTTAATTTGTATTCTTGAAAATCGTATCCTCTCTTCTAATCTTCAAGACCCTTGGTTCTGTTCTACTCACAAAGTTTTTGAAAATGAACTCAGCTTCAATAATTTTGATCTTGCTACACCTGGCCGCATTTGGATTAAATGGAATTCTGATAATATCTCTTTTAATCCTATCTCTTCTTCTCCTCAAATGATTACTGGTAATTTAATGATGGGATCTCAAATTATCATGCTTCTCTCTGCTGTTTATGCTTCCAATTCTTTTGATGAAAGAAACAAGTTATGGGCTGAATTGGGGGAAGTTAACCCTCATGGTGCTCTGCCTTGGGCTGTAATTGGAGACTTCAATACTTGCAGATTACAATCTGAGAAAAAAGGAGGGAATCTTATCACTATGGATAGGCTATATCCTTTCAATTCTTTTATATTTGACAATAACTTGGTTGATCTTCCCTCCACTGGTTATTTCCATACATGGTTCAATCAAAGACAAGACAATCCTATTCATCTTAAGTTGGACCGGGTTTTAGTGAATGAAACTTGGATTAATCAATTCCCTAACTCTCACTATAATGTATTGAGCAGTCATGTCTCTGATCATACTCCGCTTATTCTTAGAGATGTCCCTACTATGAAGAATCCTAAGAGGTTCATGTATAAAAATTATTGGAGCCACATTCCGGATTTCTGGAGCATTCTTTTAAATATTTTTCAATTACCGGATCATGGTAATCCTATTTTAAGCCTCTATAAGAAGCTGAAACTTCTTAAAAGGGAGATTAAAACTAGAAATTGGAATTCTTCCAATCACATTGCCAACAAGTGTGCTTCCTTAGTAGCCTCTCAAGAGATGTGTCAGAAAATGATTGACAATGATCCTCTTAACAAGGAGTTGTGTGGAGATCTTAATAGAATTAATGCTAACATTAACTACTACAACTCTTTGCATGCTTCTTGGACCATACAAAGATCTAAAATTAAATGGTTAAAGCATGGAGAAGAAGATTTAAAGTTTCTTTACTCCAAGATTAGGAAGAGAAAGCTTTTAATGGGAGTTCTATCAATGCTGCTATGAATAATCATGTGGACAATGATAATAGCAATCACTCTAGCATCATTCAACACTTCAATCATCTGTATAATTCTGCCCCTCCAGAATTAAATGATACTAGGCTTATTCCTAAAGGGAAAATGCTTCCTGATATTGCCATTTCAACTTTAGTTAGGCCCGTTACCAATGAAGAAATTTACCTGGCTATTAAAGGTGGCTGCGCCAACTCGGCACCTGGCCCTGATGGTTTTAATTTTGACTTTTATAAAAAACTTGGAGTATTACGGGCCCTCTTGTTTGTAAGGATATCAAATCCTTTTTTATTAAATGCTATTTACCAAAAAGTGCAAAAGCTACTGCTATAGCTCTTGTTCCTAAAAAAACCCATGCAGAAAATGTTCATGACTCCGGCCTATCTCATTATGCAATGTGTTCCACAAAATTATTGCAACTATTTTAGCTAGCCGTATGAAGATCTTTATGCCTGATATCATTGAGAACAATCAAGCTGCTTTTATTTCTAATAGGATTGCTACTGATAATCCTATATTGGCTATGGAGATCATAAATCTTTTCTAAAAGCATAATAAGAAGAATCTTTTTTGTGCTAAATATGATATTAAGAAAGCCTTCAATACAGTTTCAAGGAATTTTCTTTTTGCTATAATGGCTGATAAGGGATTTCCTAATATCTTCATTAACTGGGTTAAAGCATGTATTAATGATATCCCTTTTTCTATTTGTCTGGATGGTTCGCTGGAAGGTTATTTTTCATCATCTACGGGACTTAGACAAGGCTGTCCACTAAGTCCATTCCTTTTTTGTATTATTATGGATGCTCTTTCTTGTCTCTTAAATTATAATTCTGAGTACAATGGCTTTGAAGGTTTTGAAGGCTTTAAACTGGACAATTTTCAGCTATCTCACCTTGCTTATGCTGATGATTTATTAATTATTGGTAAGGCAGATTCTAACAATTGTGACAATCTGGTGAGGATTATTAATCTTTTCTCTAGGCTCACGGGTCTCCATATGAATCTGACTAAAAGTTCTCTTATTATTTCCCCAAGTGTCTCTTTCCCCAATGACATATCTAGTATACTTCATATTCATAATGTTTCTGATAAATTCAATTACTTGGGTATTCCGATTTCATTGGGACGGACTAAGGTGACTGACTTTGCCCCTTTGATAGAAAAAATCATTAATTTATTAGCTGGATGGAAGGCGAAGACATTATCCTTTCCTGGTAGAATGCAATACATTAAATACACTATTTCTAACACAGTGGCTTACTGGATTAGAAGCATAACTTTACCCAAAGTGATTTACAAACATATTAGTAGGTTATGCTCTAAATTTCTCTATCATGGGGAGACTGATAGCAGGAAACTACATCTTATTTCCTGGGATAATACGTGTAAACCGTTCTCTTTGGGAGGTCTTGGTATTGCTTCATTACAAGCTTTAAATTTTGCTTTTAACTGTGCTATTATTTTGAGATGTTACAACTCGAACTCCCCTTTAGCTAAGTGGTGCCTTGCTAGATATACTAGCCCCTGGAAACCTGTTACAAATAATGCATCGACTTTCTGGAAAAATATTTGCAAAACGGCAGGTATTGCTAGGGAGAAATTCAAATTCTCCATTACTAACAACAGTCCTATCTCTATTTTTTGGGATCACTGGTGTTTGGGGGAAACTATCAAAGACAAATTTCATTACTTTCCCAATAACTTAGCTAAGAACTCTCAGTTAGCTATTTGGTTACAACAAGATGCTTGGAACATACCGGCTTTTAATAACCCTTGCATTAGGGATTTCATTTTGAATATTCCCATTGTTTCTGATAATAAATTCCATATCAGCTGGGAAGGTTTAGAAAATGCTAATTTCAAGGATCTCTACTTATACTATTTTCATAATGATGCTAATGTTGATTGGCACCAGATGGTTTGGCATAAGAAGCATGCTATGCGATATTCTGTTTACTCGTGGATGTCTCTTAAAGGGGGATTAAAAAATTGTGATGTGTTAGCATCAAGAAATATACTTATTATGGATAAAAACTGCGCATTATGTCACAATTGCTTGGAGACTACTTCACATCTCCTGTTCAAATGTGATTATTCCTTTAAAGTGCTCGAAAAACTCATTCCTTCTTTTCATACACATTACTTCAGACCTACTATTTCTTTAGCCTTGCATCATATTGACAATATGGACAAGCCCAAGTACATAAAAAATGGCATTTTTCTCATTTTAAATGCTTTCACTTATTTCATTTGGATGGAAAGAAACTACAGAAAGTTTAAGTCTGCTGCTTCATGTTCCAATTCTCTGGTTAAAAAAATCTCAAGAGCAGTCATTATCAAATTAATGGGTTGGAAAAAGGGCAATGAGATCAAAGAAGCATTGAATATGGTCTACTGATGTAATATCCTATTATATTTGTTGGAAGGTGGTGTTGGTTTCTTGACTGAAACTGTGATGAGGCTTGTTGGTTTGTAGATTACTGGTGTTGATGACCAGATCTGTTTAAACATCACTTTGGATTTCTTCTGCTCGTTTAGCAGGCTATTGGGTTGTGGACTGTGATGATCTCCTGCTCTCCACTTTCTGGACGGCCTACGGGCAACCAAAGTTTGATGGATCTCACCTTATATGAAGCCAAAATTAAATTATTCTGAGTCCCTCCCAAATTCACGATTTTTAATTTTACATCCGAATAGATATAAAATTGGATGTGTCCAGGTGGTAGATCTTTGAAGATCCTCAAAATAGTTTTTCAATATTTTTCACTGATTAAGTATTCTTTTTCTTGCATATTCTGGCTAACTACTGAGCATCTTCGGAGATTCTTGGTCTCAACATCTCTTGATGAAGGCAAACTTGGAGAGGTGAATGGCAGGAGCTAGAGAAATCAAAGAATTGAAGTGAATTCTTCTTCTTAAAGCTTTGGTATCTTGCGTCAATGAATTCTTGAAGACCTTCGAAACGACCTTTCTTTTTTAAGACTGGTTCATTATGGACTCAGTTGGCGGTCCATTCCTTAAATGCTCTTAAAGTTCTTTAATTCCTTTGTTAATTGGAGTTTCTTAGAGGTTTAGCTCTCTACATTCTATATTGGTTATAGAATGCTGATAGTAATTTTTTCTTTTATTCATGTAATTTGGTTTTTCTATTCTTATTTCCTGCATTGGTCAGGTTTTCTTTTATGTACTGAACTATGTAATTTGTTTTGTCTTTTATAAAATGGGCTATGCCCCGAAATTTCCCAAAAAAAAAAAGATCTTGATGACATTAAAATTGTCACCTTCAATCACAATACCTTTAACTTCAAGCATCCAATCTTGGATATAATCTCTCAATGCTAGAATTGCCAAAAATTCCATTTGCGAGCAATCCCAATGAAGACATTGAAATCCAAAAGCAGCTAATCCACGGCCTTTATAGTCCCTGAAAATTCCTCCAATACCAGTTTTGTTATTAGGAATAATTGAAGCATCGATATTTACCTTGATCCAACTCGGAGGAGGAGGATACCAAGAAGATTGAGACAACTTAAACAGCTGATTAGCATCTCAGTTTTCCCGGATTAAACAAGAATCAAAAGATGATACAGTTTGAATAATGGATCTTGAAGCAATAGTACGACTGGTGTCATCCACCCTTCCATGAACTAGTTTATTTCTACTATTCCAGCAGTAGAACACCACAAAACAAAGCAGGTTTCCAAGGAAAGGATTAGAACTAGCCAATTTTTGTAAAAACTGATAACAACCAGATAAAGAATCAAAAGATGGAATATTAAAATGCAAATCTGCAAGCAATTTTAATACCTTTTTAATCAAATAACATTTACAAACCACATGCTCTGTATCTTCCATTTCCATACAACCTCTCGGGCAATCTCCAAAATCAGCTAGCCTTCTATATAAAAGAAAAGCAAACGTAGGAATGCCATTCTTACATAATCTCCACCATAACATATCAATCTTCGACTTTAGCTTCAATTTTTTTCTCCAGCTGAAGTTTTCATTTTCTTCGATATTTTCAATTTTTTTCTCATAAGCAGTAGCTGTTATAGATCTGCCAGAGAACTTGATACATTCCAGCTTGTCTTCGTTTTGATCTGACTGAATTGGAATTGAGACAATCAATTCAATAAGTAATGGACCAAAGTAGAGCTTCAGTTTTTCCATATTCCACATTCCTTGAGTTATAAAAATTGAAACAAGACCGAATTCTGGATCTAAAACAGTAACAAAAGTAGGTCATTTATCTATAGTTTTATCCAGAATCCATATATCTTTGAAAGTATATACATTCTCACCATTAGCAATCCTCCAGCTCATAATAAGAAATAAAAATTCTGCTCCTATCTGGATCAATTTCCAGGTTGAAGAACAACAACTTCTATTTGCACCGTTCCATAATACATTACCATACTTGGCTCATAAAACTCTATTGAGAAGAGAATTGGGCTTTAGAATAAAATTCAACGCATATTTAAATCTCAAAGGACCCAACTTATCCACCATAGACGGTAAACCATAGCCTCCTTTATTTTTTGGTTTACACAAGGAGCTCCAAGACACATAATGTATTCCATAACTACCATCTCTTTTGTTCCAAAGAAAGTCTCTACACATTTTCTCCACTTCATATAATGCAACCAAAGGGATCAAAGAATGGATGGATTGAAAAATAGGCAAAGAGAGAACTGAAGCATTGATCAAAGTAATTTTTCCAGCAAGAGAAATGAAATTTGTACCCCAAAGGTTCATCTTAGCCACTGATTTGACAATTATTTTGTTGAAATATGATTTGACCAATCTTCTTAGAGCAATCTTAACTCCAAAATATTCCATTTCATTCACCATTTTCATATTAATAACCTTGAGAAGGGATCTGCAATCACTTTTTTTTTCACATTTTTACTAAAAGAACAGCCAATTTAAGAAAGGATCTTTTGACCTGTCCAACTACAATAGTTCTTCAAGACCTTGTCAACTTTCTTC